TGCACTGTTGACATATCCCCCTTTCCCAAGGAGCTATAACGTGCAAAGAGTCTCTAAAGAAGCCTGACGACTTTAGAAAGTGATTAAAGTTTCTGTAATTTGTGTTCTCACTACAAATAAGAATAAAACTATAAAATAATAAAATAAAAACTTAAACATAATTTCACATTTCATTTGATGCTTAGCAGTTTTGGTCACTCGGCAAAACAAGAGATAAAATAATCCTGCAGTATATGCTCCAAGGTACAAACTATAAGGAATACATTAAAATGCCATTTAAAGCAATTTCCCAAGAATACCTACAAAATAATGAAGTAAATTGTATGTGTTGAGGGTTACATCTGCTCTGTTATACTCTGGTTTATGTCTGGGGCATGAAGTTGATAATGTTAACAGAAGTGCATCTCAGCAAAGAGAAACTTTTCAAAAGACAGAAGTGAGAAAGGAAAAAAAAATGAACAGGTGAGGAAGGATCTGTTATGGGAAACGGATATATTAGATTTCCTCACTCAAACTGTGAAACTAGAACTGGTGGATTTATGGATATTCTGGAGAAGTGGAGTGTTATAGGGATCTTGTTTCTTGAGGCAATGGATCTCTCTACCACAGATTTCCTAGTATTGCAACATGCAAACATCTTGGGCCAGTGCTTTGACACATCAGTATGTCTGTACTGTGTGCAACACCAGTGTTTGTCTTTTGCCTTAATTTCATGCAAGGCACAAAGGAGAAAAAACAGGAGCCCTGCTATGAGTCACTCACAGAAACTCAACTCCAACACTCCAAGCAACAGAGTTTTCCAGCAGTGAGGTGATTGCTCAGGCCAGAGTAGGGACAGAGCAGAGAGTCTTGCATCCAACCTGGCAGCATCATGCATATTTTTGTGAGGCACACTGCAGCCTAGATGCACAAAGTTGGGTTTGTATGAACAAATTGTTTTTATCAGAAATGAGGTACCAGTGACTGAATAAGTTTCTGTAGACGGTGATGCACAGAGCTGCCATGCTGAGGTGGACGTGCTGCTGTTGACATGGGCATCTCCACGAGTAGAAGGTGCCCAGGGGAGCCCACCACCTGCACAGCCTGGCAGTTTGCTTGAGACCTGCTGGTACTTCCACAGCCACCTGGACCTTAGCACATTCTCTTCATCATAACAGAGAGAAGCAATTTTTCTTTTAAAATTGGCAATTTTTACATCCCCTTAATATGTGAAGACATAGCCTGTCTTTTGTATGGCAGAATTATTTCTGTGTAGCCTGTCTCATTTAAAAATAAATCATCTCAGTTATGAAAAGACTAGAAGAATATCCATCGATTTGACAGCTTCTAAAAATCTTTCCAAGTCAATTTGCTGGCAGCAAAATGAAGGGACAATTTATTTCTATGGTGATGCTGACTGAATCACTCTAGAGCAGCTGAAGAATAAATCCTGACCAAGGTGGGTGCTGTTTAAGTCCAGTAACCATGCAAGCAGCAAGTACTCCTCGTGCTGGGTATCCATAAAAAAAACTTATTTTCATTCATGCTTGGGTTTTTTTATTTGCATTCTTTAGAAGTTCCAAAAGCTCTGGGTTTCACATCTAGTATTCTGTGAAGAAGCATACAGAAATGTATGGAACTTCAGCTGAAAAAGGATGTGCTCTTCCAAGAAACTTTGGCTTCTCCCAAACTGAGTAGTTGGTATGGTTTGTTCTTTAGCCCAAATCTACTTTGAGAAAAAGATACCTAGAAAAGATTGCTGAACTGAGGTTTGTTTTATGTCTTCCAATAAAATGCCTTTTCTGTTTCAGTTATCTTTAAGAGAAGAAAATTCTAAATTGTCAGTTCCTGACATAAGGAATAATTTTCATGCTTTTACATGAGCTTATAGATAGATATTGGAAATCCATTATAATGCTTAATATAATTTTTAAATGTTTGCTTTAAAGACTTGCATAGTAATAATTCTTAATTTTAAAATAAATTGTTTACAAGATCTTTTATTTTCTCTTATTTCAAATAATTTACTGGGGAGACACTTATTTCTCTAAAGAGTTGCATGAACTGACTTGCTGGTTATGTTTCTTTTCACACGCCTTACAGTTAGATGACATCTTTTTATAGTATTTTTATTTTTAGAATGCTTTGTTTCTCATTTAGTTGTCATTTAGTCACCTGATTTAGTCCTTGAATGGAAATATATTTGACTACACTAAGAAATGAGCATACTGTGTACCTATAGAAGAGACGTATATTAGTAGAGGTATCTTCACTCTTAACACACCTCCAGCAGTTTTTTTCTTTGTTTGTTTTAGGCTTTAGTAGAAAATATGTTTTGCTTCATTATCATTCATCTAAAAGTCTTAAAATCTATGTAACTGTCAAATTGATTAGTAATTCTGCAGTGGTACAGTTTAATAAACAATGACAAACCAACCCAAAGCATTCAAATTATTGCCATTTTTGCACATAAAATTAATTTTTATTTCCTGCAGCTTTTGAAAGATCTGTTCTTCTACACAATCCTTTCCTAGCAAGCTGAGTTATTTGTAAGATGTTGTACAGCGTTTATTATTTTCAGGAGCATCAGAGTGGAGAGGAAGGGCAATGTTGTTGAGGCCTGGAGATTGTGAAACAGATAGCACTTGAATACCTAAATTGGGATGGTCAAGAAAGGCAGGTCTCTCACAGGTGCATTTCCTCAGGGTAGTTTCATATTCAGTTATTTCAGCTCCCTGTGATTCATCCCATTATTTTTTGTGCACACTCATTTATTGCCACAATGACCTCACTTGTCAACGACAAACACATTTGTAAGAGCTCGTCCATTTGGGAAACTGAGTGGTTGATGTGCATCTAGAGCTTCTGGTCAACAGCCATGGTCAGCTGTGGGGAGAAATGACAGAAGGATTTGTCTGTCCCTCTCACCATCAAAGATACGTCACCGTTGTTATTGGCCAGTGAATTGTGCCTTATAAAAAGTTTCGGTGACTTTGCGTCAGAGCTGCTGCTGTGTTCAACGCAAAAAGGCCATTAGACTTAGGACATTATTATAATGAATGTTATGTGTTTTGAGTAATTTGTGAGAGCTTTCTAACCTTGGGACTTGTTAACCCAGTGAAGGGTTAGTTTTTAGAGCAACATACCCTCTCAAAGTGTGTGCTTGAGATATTTCTACAATGATTCAGCTTGTGTAGTGCCCAAATGTGCAAGGTCTCAGAATTATGTGCTGTAAAAGGAGTTTGAAGGCAGGGTAAGATGAGCAGAAACTTGATTTTGACATAAACAATACAGGAAGACAAAGTGGTACAGCCTTTAGTTTGAAGTTTGAAGGATAGATTACTAGTTCTTGAATTGCTTTATTATGCATGGCATCTTAATTCAGGCTATATTTGTGTATGTAATGCCTTAGATCAATTTATATTCTATGATGATGTATTTCTTGTATTATGACATTGCTCTGAATTTGTACTGACTAAAGAGGGCTGCAATCTTCTTTTTGAATAAAATGAGGTAACAGTAGAAGTGATCATGCAGTCTTTTCCATAAGCTGTATTTACATGTTTCAGGTACTGGAAAGAGGCATTCTTGCTTGTTTATTTTTCCTTAAAAGTATCAAGTGCAAGTTATAGAAACAATAGGGTTTTTTTTATCCCTCCTGCATTTGCTGTTGCATAGTAATTTTGAAGGAAAAGACTAAATAGAAGTGGGTGGTGGGTCAAAATCTATGCTAACATGGTGCTGTCTTGGATAACTATGTTTTCTAGAGAAGGTTAATACATTAAATGTAAATCAATAAAGCATGAATACTGTATTATATGGAGAGTTTTCTGGTTAACATAAGATAAAAGTATTAGAGGAACAGTAAGGGAGGTAATGGGGGCTGTAAGTGAGTTGACAGTGGGCTATGCAGAAGCAATTCAGAGGTTAATGCTGCTTTAACTGTTGACACTGTTACTAGATCTGTTTTGATGAAATTAACTGATGAACTAAAATTAAGAGAGAGCTTCAATTACAAGGAGGCTTCAGAGACTGGACCAAAAGAAGCAAATGACAATGAGGGCTGAATTAATAAATATTTAATGACCCAGATGGTGCATCAGTCCAGATCCTCTGCTGTAGAAACAAGCAACAAATGTCTCAAATCTCTGAAGGGCATGGATTGAGTAACAGGCATCTGACAGTCTAATATGATTATGAGAAAGCAAAAGTAATCCTGAGATACATTGGGAAGATCTTCTAGTAGAGACGAAACTGCTGACATGTTTGTAGGGAGCACTGTGTGATTCTAAGTGCCTCTATTCAAAGACACCAACTCCAAACTGATGAGGCAGAGGAGACCTGCAAGGCTGCCTGTCACATTGGTCACCCTCTTCAGAGAAGGATAACTTTGGCTTCTTTGTGCTCAGTGGCTTCTTCTGATAGCACTCTGTGTGCATGGAGGAGAGGGAAAGGTCCTGAAGCTGAAGAGGTTGTTTTTGGCACAAATGGACATAACCTTAATAATAAGCAGCTGAAAATTTCAGAACTTCCTTCTTTTTCTTAGAGGTTTTTCTGAAATAGAAAAGTGAAACAACAGGCAGCAGATGGGCCAAGGCCTGCCCTGAGAGCAGGGGGAAGGTTCCTGCAGAGACTGGAAGCACTGATACAGGAATGCTCTACTGGGCTACCTGTGGTGCCCCAAATTCTCGCGTGAAGCACTGAATGAACAGTCATGTTCAAGTCCTTGTAAAGCAAAGAAATAAAAGCCATAGCAGTTTCTAAATATTGTTGAGATATGTTCAGCCCAGTTGTTGAATACTGAATGGCATCAAGGAGTCATCTACCCTCATCGCCTTACAGGGGTTAATCTGAGGCTGATGTATCAGGCTGGTGTAGGAGTTCATGGGTTTACCTTCCCTCTCAGAAAAATAATTTCATTTTGAAGAATATCTTGTACATTCATCACAACCACTTTGCTTTCATTCAGTCATGATTATTTAATTCTTCCTCACATGTATGTTGTATTTTTTCTTTTACAGAACAGTTCGTGTCTGGCTGAAGAGAGACAGTGGGCAGTACTGGCCCAGTATATACCATGCAATGCCATGTAAGTATAAGGAGATGTTCAATATCTGCTGTGGATTTGTAGATGTTTTGATGAAGCTTCATGCTTATGACCATTTGCACGCTTACATCTCGGTATCATATGTTATTCTTGAACAATCCTCTTGGTACCAGTGAAGATTTACAAAGTTACATGCTAATGCTTCTGAGAGGCATCAGAGATTACAGCAGTAAAAGGATACAGACATGTTACCAAGGGATGAGCGTTTAATGCAAACACAGGTTTTAAAATGTGGGAACTCAAAATGTGGTCTTGCATTCTGCCCCTAATGGAGTCCATAAATCTTTGTAAGTCTCCGGTATAAATCACTCTGCCCTTCCTACTGTGTGTGCTCAGTCCATTAGAGTGCAATGGTAAATGGTTTTATTTGGTGAGAACTTAATATTCCATGGCACCTAATGTGATAGAGAGGATACTAGACAGGGAAGCTCTTCCAATTTAGAAACTGAATCATTTTACCTCTGCAATTGAATGTGGAAAACCAAATTTCCCTGATGGATCCCTCCATTATGTCTCCTCTCCCAAAGAGTGTTCATGCTTTGAGAAACTGCAGATCAATGTTCATTTTTCCAGGGGAGAGTTGAAGAAATGACAGACCTTGCTGTTTGCTGTAACCCCTGTGCTGAGTGCAGGAATATAATTTTGTGGGTCATCAGAGGCAGGTATATGCTAATGCTCTTCAGTCAGCTTCAATTAGATGTGCTGGGTTAGCCTGTCTTTGGAAAGCTTGTAAAGCTGACCTTAAATCCAGATTGGGGAGCACATACCAGGTCTCATGGAGGTATTCATACTGTCTGGAGAAAGGATTATTTTAAGCTAAGATAGGTAGATTTGGAAGAGACGTCTGTCTCCATGATAGCTAAAATATTTAATAGATGTAAGTTTTAGTATAAAAACATCAATTTGGGACTGTAGGGCAGCCATGGTATTTGCCTGCTTTAAGAAAACAGTTTGGTCTTCTTCCTTTCTTGATGGACTAGCTCATAAGAACATGCCAATCCTCAAAGGTACTTTCTGCTCAACATTTTGCCCAAGAAGGTATCTTCCTTTGTTGATGGACTAGCTCATAAGAACAATGTCAATCCTCAAAGGTACTTTCTGCTCAACATTTTGCCCAAGAAGGTATTAGGAACTACCTAATGGCATGGCAGTCTCTGTAACTCTGTCATGATCACTGGCAGTGGCCTGAGTTCCCTTGACTGGTCCTAAGAGATTTGCTTTCCCCAGCCAAACTGTTATGAAATGGCCTTTCTAGCCATTTGGCATTGATTCTTCTCTTTTTCCATGTGGTATTTTTGTATACATTTGCATATTTGAATCTCATTGGGTTCTTCTTTGGTCTTAGCAAAGCTGTGATATTGCCAGTAATAACTGTTTCAGTGGAAATGATGGAGTAGATCCAGTTCCACTGAAGGGGGACTATTTCAAAGCTCCTTCATAAATTTGAACACTTGACAGTGCTCCTTCACTTCGTAGACTGGTATGCTTTTGAGGCATGGGGTACTGAAATTATATTGTGTTATTCAACAATTTCAAGAATCATCAGGTACAATTAACAACCGAAGCAGTTACAATCAGTCATGCCTTTAAGCTTGGAAATCATAGACAAGGCTCTGAGTCAGAATCTGCACAAGTCTGCACTTGACTGGAAATGATGGTTTTGTCTGCTTTTGTGTTGATCACCTTTTGGATGGTGTTCTGCTTTAGGTTCATACTGGGTTTTGTTGTTTAAAGACAATGACTGCTGAGAGTTTCTTTGTGTAGAACTGTAGTAGGCACAATGGTGCCTTTGTGCTGCTTAGCAAGCTGAGAGTAGCAGTCCTACCTATAGATATCCCATTAACATGAGTTGTGACTGACTGTGGTCATGTGTGACCCAATCTATTTTATGATTTGATACCAGGTAGCCTTAATAACTGAGTTTGCAGATAGGTCCTCTGGGAAATGAGGAGGCTGAGGAGTTGGGTTGACTCAGTGATGTGCTTTGGTCAAGTTCTGCACCCAGACAGGGTCATCAATGCATTCTGAATGTCAAAATCATTAAATACCTAATGGTAAAAAAAGGCCAAGATTGTAGATCTCTTCTGAGCTTAGAGGTAGAATTTCTTCTAATTGGGAAAGTTTTATGACTTGCCTGTGGGTGAATCTATGGTCAAAAAATTCTGGACAACACAGTGGCCATATTTTTGATCATCATCTCCAACCCGTGAGAAAGAAAAGAGCTCTAGCTGAAACCTTGCTAATCCATTTCCTTCGCACCAGCGTTGTCTCAACAGCTGATTAACAACAGAGCTCTGTAAACATGTAACCCTGGTTAGATGCGTACTCTTGATTACATGTGTAACCATGGTTAAATTTGTCACTTTGGGCGCAGGATAAAAAAAACAGCTTAGCAGACACAAATTTATGAAAGGTAAAGAAATTGTAGTCAAGAGTCAAGTAAACTTTTCCAGTAAAGAAACCAACAAAAGTAAAGCACACAAAAAGACCTAAATGCAAACAATACCCCCTATTGCAGATGTGGAATGGAGGATTTATTGTACTGGTGAACAATGGAGTATCCAGTCTTTGAGGCAGATAATATGCTGCTCATCTTTTGATGGTTTTCATAACTAACACTTTGCTTTGAACAGGAGGGTGAAACAACTGCAATGCAAAACATGCTTCTTTGGTCTTAAACTGTGTCATGTTTAGGCATTTCAGAGGGGATCCCAGAAATTGCAGGGACAAAGTCTGTATTTCTCTTCTGATTCTTTCAGCCTCTAATAAAGGTGACATGCTTTTGAGAGCATGAAATATATAATTGGGGTTTTCCTCCATATTTCATTTTCTAAAGGCAAAAACTCAGTGTGTATTTGTGCTGTATTTAGGAAAATACTTGAGCCAGAGTTCTGCATCAGGAATATCCTGCTTGACTTCCATAGTAGTTCAGATCAACCTTTTTCCAGTCTGAAATCCAAATCATAGCTAGGTTCTTAGAGTAGAGAATCTTCAGAGTGCTGTTATTTTTCCTGGATATGTTTTTTAAAGAGTCTTAAATATCTCAGAAGCTAAAGGTTTCAGGTTTTTGTTTTATTTTTTCTTACTGTTCTCTTCCCCTCTTTTTAATGTGCCTAAGTGCTAAAGTACGTGAATGTTGTCTTAATTTTACTAGAGTAAGCTGCTGCAGCCTTGTTACAAGTGGCACGACTGACTACATCAGTGTAGCTGGTATGGACATAATTTTAGTGCTGACATAATGATTTTTCTAAGTGAACGTGTTACTGAGGAGTTCCCTTGGGAAAATGATTATAGCAAAATAAGTATCTTTCCACTGCTATGACTGTGTACAGACAGGTCTGGAATTCAGAAATTAGTTCATGTCAAGCAATTGCTTGCATCGTTTGCTTCTGAAGTGTTTGGGAAAAGCATACTTCAAATAATTAATTTACCTTAGACTACTTCTCTGTGAGCTGCTCATTGCCTGCAGAGATACTGGTAGCTCTTTCAATGTGTGCGTAGTGTCCAGCATTTAAAAGTTGCTGTGTGATATACCTGTTCTGGCATTAAGTGCCTTTAAACTTATTTGATGTTTATTATGCTTAGAATTGGAGCGTTTTCTGTCCATTTTTTTCATACAACTCTTATTCTGCTACGGGCCTAGAAGCCTCAGTATAATAGTAATGCACCACCTTTGGAAGGGATGATTCCCGTTTGCCTTTTCTAAGCAAGAGGTACAGGCAGGAGCAATTTTGTCACTGTTACTAGGTCTGATTCAATTGTTTCCTTTCTGTCAGTTTCCTTGAACAGAAGCCTTTGCATTGATTCAATTCAGTCAACCCTTCCAGGAAAGAAATAAACTGAGGTGCCTGCCTGGATGTGGATCTGATGGGCTTTCTGTTTATGGTTACTTGTCCTTCAGGAAACATTTCAAGAGCGAGTCAATACTGAAGGTGGAACAAGTTTTATTACACAGTCAACAGTGACTCTTCTGCATATAGCTTTGCTGCCAATTAACTATCAAGGAAGATTTGCTAAGCTATGAGCTGTTTAGTCCTAAGAGAGACATTACACAAATTGAGAAGATACTGAGTTACAGTACTGCAAAAGAGAGGACTCCAGGCTTGTTAGTTACACAAACATGGGAGCAATCACAACACACAGTGGAAACCAAGAGGCGGGGAAAGGCAGAACTAAAAGTACATCTGACTGCACTCTATATTTATCATAAGAATATGGTTTATGAAGCTTTATAACTCTTACTGTTATCCTAGCTGCATTTGGAGATTGCTGCTGAAAAATAATTCCTGAAGGTTTCTGTTGGGACAGCAGGATTCCCAGCTGCATGCTGCTGTGTTGGGCAGTAAAAGCAATTCCTGCTTTCTGAATGTAACTTCACGAGTTTTCAGTTAAACCAAGCACAGCTCTTGAATTCTTGCAAGGAAACCTGGTTTTATCCTGGATACAAATCCTGCCAGATCTTTGAGGGAGCATACTGTGACCATCTTATGTGCAATTTCAGGATAAATCCTGATATTTATTAGAGTAATATCAATGTAATCAAGCAACGGCTAGTTTTAGATAAAAACATTTATTTTGACCATGATATGTGATACTGTCATAGTGTTGTCTGTGATGGAATTGGAGTAGGGGACAGTTTAACTCGGTCCTTAATTTTAGTTGATATGTTGATTCCTACTGGAAAATTTTCTTACTGCAGGTATAGGATGCAAGCCTCTGACATAATGTAGTGTTTTGTTTTATTGTCAGCACAGTTCAGGCAAATGTAAAAAACTAAATTATTCAGCTAAGTAATCTCTGATTTATACTGAAGTGTCAAGTGCATCCTATATCAAAGCAGCACTATTCCTCATATATGAAAGGCTTGTTTACAGATAACTAGTAAGGAAAAAAAGTTAAAGGAACTGGAGCAAGAAATAGCTACTTTCCCATGTCCTAATAGGATAGGGTTGAATGAATTGCAAGAACACTTTTTAATGCTTGTCTATTGGTAAGCTCAAAATCTGCACAGCATCATAAAGCATGTTAGCTAATTTTAGGTTTTCCAGAACTTCAAGAAAATGAGAATTGCAGTTTTGTTAACTTCATCAACATGTTCATTTTTTTCAGCTCCATGTTCATGCATGTCTTTTAACCCGGAAACCAGAAGGCTGTCCATAGGTCTAGACAATGGTACAATCTCAGTAAGTACATCCAAAGATTTCTAGTTGAAATACTTCCTTTTTGAGAAGTATGTATGTGATGATGTGGTGAGAATATTTTTGCCTAGTGTTTGGGAGACAGACTTTTTAATGATAGTGGAACTAAATCTGTTGTACAGAAAATATTAGATTATTAAAAATTTTATTCCAGCTGCCACAAAGAGTTTGAGTGGGGTTTACAGTATTTATTGGGCAAGTCAACAAACTGTCTTAATTTGCATATCTTTTAAAAAATAACACAGAAAACCAGCTGTTGTTTTATAAAATTTAAGTGATTTGTTAATTACATGATGCCAAAGTTTTCTGAAAGCAGCAATTAAGAGGAGGAAAAATCATCTTCTTAGAGGCAGAAGGTGGATTTCTGCTCCATGCCTATCTGCTTTTCAGAACTTCAGAGTTCAGATTTTGTTTTCCTCTCCCTTCCAGAGGAGTTGCTTCTAATTGGCAGTGAGGTTGCTGAGAGATTTGGTTCATCAACATCTGAGATAGAGATGTCTGGAAAGGAAGTAGGATATTAAAAGAGGAGTATGTCTGTTAGGTCTATGATAGAGAGTAGCAGTTTACCTTATTAATTGGATTTTTCTTGTGGGATGATGAATAAAAAGCTGTATCACTTTGGAAGAGTGGAAGAGTCATGGGTCAGAGGTATTTTTCACATATACCTCATCAATGGATTCCTCTTCCTGTTTAAGATCAGTTTACCATCACTTCAGATTTTTCTGCTGTTCTCTCTGCCTTATGGGCCTTATAACTGAATGAGTGTTTTCAGGCTAATAGAAGGGCAGCTGTCTGCACCAAAGCCACTATGGTGTTTGGGAAAGGGGAGGTGACCCTTTTAGCTGTTGCCTGTAAGCTCCCTCAAAGATGTGAAGGTTTTGACCTATAAAGCTATTAATGCCTGGAAGCAGAGTTTTGTGTGCCTGTAGGAGATTTCCTTTTGTATCTAGGAGATGGGACAGATTCCAGAGAATTCTCTGCACCTCTGAAATTCTCTCCTTCCCACTCTGAAATAGCTGAAATTTGCTGGTCCTACTAGGCACTTTTGTTTTCACCAGGCCTTTGAGGAATGTGCAGGCAACTGTAAGTAAGGTATTTAAATACTCTGGCATGATGGGAGATGTGTCCTTCATCTTGGGGGCATTTTGTTTTGAAGAGTGAGAGGATGCTTCAGAGAAATGGGGTCAAATATTTTCCATTCTGAAGCTAAAAAAGGTAAAGGAGATATGCAGGTGATAAACCTACACGTGACTTTGGATATTTATAGGTTTATATTGCCACATCTAAGGCAGATTCTATTTGTCGCTAAGCTGGGTTTTTCTTTTCCCAGTCTTCTGGATAGAAGTATATGGGAAGGGGGAAGTGCTTGTCTGTGTTACTTGATTTAGTCTTCTGTAAGCTGCAAGGACTTGTGTGGTAGGGAAAAAATGCACTCCAAAAATTTGTACAAAGGATGAAATGTTTTCATCTGTAGCAAACCTACTACTTACTTGTAAGAGTAGCTACAATTGTAATGTGCTGCAAGAGGTGGTGGAGATGGGAATGGATAAACAAGGGGAGCCCCATTTTCAAATCCCAGAAATACTGGGGTGTAGGGAACACCCCCAGGTACTTGAATGTGGGTTACAACCACCTTCTTGAGGAAAGGGTAAATTTTCTCTCCTGGGCCCAGCCATGATGATTAGTTTAGCATAGAAATACATAAGCAGGGCACATTGACCACAAATTGACAGAACTTACTGCAGCAAGGTGACCTTAGTACCCTTATTTTAATTTCTTCAAAGGGAAAATACTGGCAATTTGCTTGAGCAGCTTGAAATATTTGGGAATTAGTCAGCTGTTCCACATTAGCACTTCTGTAATGCCCAGCATGCTTGTGTGTGCTGGGTGCAGGGCCAAACAAAAACCCAAACAAAAAAACATCCAACCATACCAATAAAACCCTGACAATTATTCTGTACCTTCATTTTGGGTAAAAGGAAAGGATTCCTGGTAAGGACTGTGAGCTGATAGTCATGACTGACACAAAATCTCAAATGATTTTTTTTTTTTACAGTGCAAGGAAGTACTTTCTGGTGTAAATGGAGATAAGAAAGTGGAATTGCCTTTTTTATTCTATGTGAAATTTTTGTAAGCTGTATGGATTTTGGTTATACATGTGGCACCTCAGGAATGCATATTCTGCATTTTGAGAAGGACAGGCAGCACTGTTGGCACAGAAAGAAGTTCCAGCAAAGCCACCTGAGGTGAGCTTGTATGGCCACCTCTTTTGTGAAACAAAGCAGCAAGTTCTGCTTCTACAGAGAAGAGATTGGTTTTAACCTTTTGTCAATTCTCAGTATGAGGGCTGCACAAACATTTGTGCAGCAGAGCACACCATTATCTCGAGCAAAGATTGTTTAGCATCTTGCTTCAAGAGTGGTGGCACCTAATGTAAAACACCCAAATTTTGTGTGATCTGCTTTTTTTACAGTTGGCAAACTCTTTTTTTCAGAAGAAATGACATCTTAGGGACTGCTTGAAATCCCTTTTGGAAACTAAAAGATTTTATCCTGGACATAAATTCCTTGGTCAGAACTGGAAAAAACCATACTTGAATGGCTGCAAGGTTCTTAAGATAGCACAAGAAACAGAAGAAAGTTCTTCCACTTGCAATACACAGGAAACTTCCACTGCCAAGATGAGACTTCTTACCTCTTTCATCCATATGAAAACTCCTTTCCTAGCTAAAGTTAAGCATTAGGTTCTGCAGCCAGTAAAGGAGAGAAGAATTGTCTTTGGATGCACCCATGTTAGTTTTTCTAGAAACTGTTATGAAATGGCATAAATTTCTTCCTTCATTTTTTGGGAGATTGAAATGAGTGATTTAGTTCTTGGGTAGCTGAAGATGAATTAATTTTTTTTTTTTTTTTTTCTGACCATGCCTAAATCTGTATGGAGCTGTTACATACTTTGAGCAGAGCCACAAGGACAGCAGGGCACCAGAATAATCCCTTCAGAATTTGTCTTTGGAGATGGTACTTATTAAGATAAATTCATCTTCCACCTCATCTGATCTTGCAGCTGTCTACAGGTTTGACCAGTATTTTGAATATCTGAGACTGAGTCAGGCTCTACCTGCTGATGTACAACCTTCCCCTCTGCTGTTCTGAGGAGTTTAGTATTTTTTACCTCAAGAAATGAAATGAAATTTTATAATAAATAAAGTGAAAATGCTGTCATTATTTATAGAGTCTTGGTTTTTTCCCCAACAGATATAGATGTAGTGTCTGACAGAAGATTTAAGAGTTTTCATTCTCTTCCATTTCTGAAGTGGGTCTTTTTTTGTTCTCTGGAAGACCTGAGAGTGCAGTCAGTCACCTGTGTTAACAGGATAAAGTCAAGCCTATAAGGAGATCTGTAGTGTGTTGTCAAAATGGCATCATCTATCAAAGAGACTGCAAATTCCCCAGGGTGGGAACTTGCAGACTGGGTGCCCAGTCTGTGCATGGGTAACACATAACTAATATATAAAGATTATTAATTCAAAAATGGATTCAGTTGCTTAAGGAGAGTTCTCCATTTTGCAATACATCAGTTGGCATATTCCTGAAGCTCTAGGAAGGCATGGATCTTCCTTAGTTCCTGGACCATGTCACCCAGCCCCATGGCCAAGGACTCTGAATTATTTGAACAAGATGCTGATACTATTTTTAGGATGAGGTTTTACAGAAGTCTTTTGCTCAAGAGAAGTTTGTGGTGGGTGTATGTGTTTCAGTATGAAGGAGGTGTGCTACACAAAGGAATCGTTGTGAGTCTTTGTACATCAGTGGACAGCTAGATTTTGACAGTCTTCAAGAATTCTCCTTTGTGCTTTGTGAAGACTTTCATGGTACCAAGTTGCTGTTGTAATAATAAGCTCACCTGAAACAGGCAAGACTGAGCATTAATGTTTTAAATATGAAAAAAATGTAGTAAAGTAGCTCCAAAACCACCTCTGAAGGATAAAGAGTGATCTTGGCAGAAAAGTTGTTTTTAATCCCTGCAAGGAGGGTGTTTGGTTTACCATCCTGAGTGCTCTGATGTGTCCCAACCCCTCCTGTGCAAAAGGGATGCACAGGACTCAGAAGTCTTTCTCTGTTCTGTTAACAAGCACTGACTGAGCTGTGTAGGTGACCCCAGCTTTTCCAGCTCATTAAGAAGAGCCAGAAGCTGCCTAATGAGAACTGAGCGTCAGCAGCTCTGAGAGGAGCAAAACATCTACGTAGGCAAGGATAAAAAAACAGCTTCAGCTTCTGCTGGTACAATGTTAAAGAGATGTAGTCGGTGTTTTTGTAGTGCAGGTGACACATTCTATGTGCAATAGGGCATGAATTTCTTGAGCAAGATGCCCTGTGCTAAAATACCTGTCTAGTGACACAACTAATGCATTTGGCCTGAAGAGGGAGAGAACAATAAGTGCAATGGAAGAACACGAGAGATTGTAAAGGGAGGTGGGGAGACTTGCAGGGAGATCAGAAAATGCGTCACAAATTATCATGTGCTTTCAAAGAAGAAAATTAAATGCAAGAAGTCTTTGGGGGAAAAAAAATATATCCAGTATTTAGGTTAACTGAAACTGTGTTTATCTGTTTATCTTGTACTGTATTTGTCTTTATTTTGGATGGAGCAGTGTATTGAGAGTACATAGCTGTGGTTTATATTAAAGAATACAGTGGTAATCAATACTTGGATAGACCTTAAAAATCACATATATTTGTTTATTGTATTATAATGGAGATATTCAAAAGCCTTTTCAGTATTCCAGTGAAACTGTAGGGCTCTTTGGATCACAAAACAGAATGGCAACATCAAATTTGTTGAGAGAAAAATGCAAATAAAAGTGAGAGTGCAATCCACTTTTTACATCTCACCTGCAGTCACTGGCATGTGTGTGCCACTGCAGTCAGAGACAAGGACAGCCAAATTGGTGGGAAAGGCAGACATATCTTCCCATCAAGTGTTGCAGCAATTAGAGCAATTTCTCTTTAGGTAACAATAGCAGAAAGTTAGCATTCTAGCAAAAGGTTCTGCTTCAAATAGGCTTTGTAGTGAAACATTCCATGTAGTGATGCAGTATTCTTCAGGCCGTGGTTAAGGAAAACAAGTTCCCCTGTTAGTAGCTGGAAAGGTATAGCAGATTTTAAACTTTCTGTGGTTTGTAGAGCTAGGGTGACCCTGGTATAGAAATCCAGCTGACTTAATTTATTTGTTAGTGCTGTTTAAGTAACACTCGCCACTGTAGTCCGCAGCTGCCAGAGAAACCTACTGGGAGCTGGAGCAGATTAAAGAGAGGAAGATAAAGTAGAGCAATTTAAGAGAATGTATTTGTAACAAATTTATGAACAGAAACATGGAGAGAGCAGAATACATAGCTGCCTCAAGTCATGCAGTTGTTTTTCTGGAAGCTGGGATATGTAGATGTTCCACTGTAACCTCTCTACCTTCGTGCCAAGCAATAGATGTGATGTGTTTGAATAATCCTGGTGCTGAAGGCCAGGCAGATAACCTGCAGTGACCCAACAGAAAATGCAGAGTGATGTTTTTTTTTAAATTGTACTTTGGAAACTGGGAGGAAATACTGGCTTGTTGGGGGTTAGAATGTCTTTTGCATTAAACATTTGGTTTGCCTTGAACACAGTCTGTAGGCTTCTGAAGTCCAGTTTTCTGGGAGTGCTTTTGGCATGTGCACAAGAACATTTCACAACTATGTGTTTATCAAATTTGCTTATCTTGTGTTTGTAATGTTTATTTTAGCTTCCCATCTTATTTCAGGTTAAATGAGTTAGGTTTTACTTCTTCTGTCCTCTAGGCAGATTAGCACAGGAGTTTCTGTGTAGTTTGCTATAAATTATTAAAATGATGTGGTTTTACACTCCTTCGTATTTTACTTTGTGTTTCTCTAAATATGTGATGTATGTACATAGACACCTGACAGCTCTCTGAAAGCTACTTCATGTGGTGCTGCTACAAAGCCTACAATTGGCTTGGGTGTTTCCTCCAGAGAGATTTTACAGGAGTTTGGTAGTGGCCATTCTGTTTCCCCAGTTTTGAGTAACTCTCCTCTTCAAAACAATCTGCAGGAACACCTGGGTGGTCAGTGAGTTTAACCACCTGGGACTTTTCCAGGAGCTGAGGCTGCCATGCAGACTCTTAGCTGCCATGCTCAACATTTCCCCGTGCAAAAGCCATATTGGAAGTTGAACAGCAGCACCAAGACAACAGAGCCCGTTGTTGATCAGCAGCACCAAGACAATGGAGCCCATCCCTATAGGTGTGCTCTTGCCTGGACACACAGAAGTTTGGGTTTCTGTTTGTCTGCAGCACTGAGAGGCTTTTTAACAGAAACCTAAATGCATTCCATTTCTATGATGTATTGTTGGTATCTAGCCTTGACTGAGCAATTTGGAGTGTCTCTTACATATTTATATTGCGTTTCCTGAGTGTTCAGGTTGGGGTGTATGTAGTGTATGCACACACATGGATACATGTGGATGCACAAATGAGCACACATAGCTGTGCACACAGGCGGGTTTCTGCCCAGGCAGTCCTGAGCAGCAGGTGTTCACCAGGTCCCAGGTTCCTTATTTTGTGGCACCTCAGCTCACAGCCAGTCATTTCTGTCATCTTTTTTGACTTCTTTTTTAATGGTTCCTCTTTTATCCATTCCATTCAGAAGTACTCATAATATTGTCTTAAGTGAAATAATTTAGGTTTTAGGTACTCAAAATTATTAAAAGTGTAGATAGGGCTCTGGTTGTGAAGAAGGGAGAGTTTATGTACGTAAAGTATACAAATGTAAACAGCCTCAAATGCTTTACATCTCTAAGCCATATTTCTTTTGTTTTTTCTTTCCCTCCCTCAGGAGTTCATTTTATCAGAAGATTACAACAAGATGACACTAGTGAAAAGTTACCAGGGTAAGAACCATGACCCATGTTAATTGGTTTGTATTGTCATTAATTTTTGTTAATGTTTTCTTAAGGAGTATGAATGGAAAAGTTTCCCTTACAATGATAGATTTTTTTAAACTTATGTAAATGCTGGTTTTATCAATAGATCTATACTGTGCTGTGTTCTGAGATTACAAGAATTTCAAAAGAGCTGTTTCATGTTCTGTTTTTCCTTTTAAATGTTCCTTTGGAATATCACAGTAGACAGCAAACCATCCACATTTGGGGAATAGGAGTTTTAATTTTCAATCTCCAGTAATCCAATCTACTGAAACAACTTAGGGAACGAACCCATCTTTTAAGGCTCAAGCTATTTGGATTAATCCAGTTATATTTCAGTAACTATCATTTCAAATAACCACAATATTGTCAATGAATACCCCTCCTAATAAAAGGTCAAGAAACACCTTTTATAGCATACCTTTTCTAATTAGAGTCTGGTGTTCACTAATGTGATGTTTTCAGAAACCTAGCTATTTATCCTTTTCAAACCTCTAAAGGACACTGTTTTAGACAGGTATTCCTATAAAAGTAACAAATACATGTGACAATTTCTTCTTATATATATTTTTTTACTGTTAGACTAAGAGATGGTATGATATTATATGGCAACATATATAATATACTAAGCATTATGTTTCTGTGTAGAAGCCTCTGACATGTTAGCCTGACATTTCTCAGATACATTTTAGAATATGTTCTTACTCATATATTTTGAGTTTTATACCTTGAAAGATTGAGAGGGTAATTTAAATCTCTAAATGGAGGCTCTGGGGTTCACTTTGTAACATTTGAGTTTTAAGGTATGAAAAGAATCTTGATTTTTGCAGAGCATGGCTAACATGTGAGTGTTTCATGAACGGTGTGTTGTAAAATTAAGCTAGAATGCCTGCATTTTTTCTTAGCTTTAAAAACTGAAGAAAAATACCCAGTGATGATAAAATATATATATATGTGAATCTTAAATAAGATTGCTGCAGTCTGACTGTATAGGTGTTAATATCCAAATTTGTGACTGCTCTGCAGTCCTCAAAGTTTAATGCAGCTAAGTTTCATATTTAAATGTTGTGGCACTAAAGAGAGTGAGATGAGGTCTTTTCTTCTGTATATGCAGAACAACATATGCATGAGAACAACTTTCTTGATGACTCCTTCAAGGAAAATGCTGAAAATTTTGTAAGAGGGGAATGCATTTCTTGGCAGCATTTCAGAAAAGCCTGTTGGCTGTGACAGCCCACTGAAGGTCTGGGCAAAAATGCTCATAAAATTAAAAAAGAAAAAAGAAGGAAAATGGAAGCTGGTTTTTGTGGCTTTCTGCAATATGCCAGATGTGTTGCAAACATTAGAGGAGGCCTTTGGATAGGAAGATGTCATGGAGAACCTCCATGGATTGTCCTGGGGGGAAACCCAAGAGCTCAGATTCCCCAAATATTGGAGAGCAAAGGATTCTAATGAGTGTCCACTAACATCAGTGGAGTGCAGCTGACCATACTCCTAACTAGTCACCTTCTTCCTAGCCTGCCTTCTCACCATGGGAATGTTTTTCATAGGATCTTAGAATGGTTTGGGTTGAAAGGGGCCATAAAGTTCAGTAAGATCCACTCCCCCTGCCATGGGCAGGGACACCTTCCACTGGACCAGGTTCTCAAAGCCCCATCCAGTCTGGCCATGAACACTTCCAGAAATGGGGCATCCACAGCTTTTCTGGACAACTTGTGCCAGTGTCTCACTGCACACACCTGCACAATTGCAGTGAACAGTTTTCTGACAGCACAAGGCAGGAAAAATAAAAAAACCCAATGAGATTCCCTGCTGTTTTCAGGGCGCCAATGACCTGGGGCTGCCTGCTGCTCCACAGCACAGTGCCTCCCACCACCCCCTTCCAAAAAGACAATGCTCCTGGATTCTCCACTCTCACACCAGGTGCTGGTGAAGGAGTGCAGTGACCCATCTGTCTGGCCCTTGAGCCCATGCTAGAGGTCAGGAGTGCTGGGGAAACATTGCAAAAGTGAGGTGCTCTGTGAGCTGCTGCCAGTCACAGGATCCTGTAGTTCCACTGGTCCACACAGTGTTAGGCACTTTCATGCTCCTCTTGCTGCATTTGCCTCCAACCAGAACAGTGGATCTGGGCTTACCAGTGGCCTCACTGGGTCCAAAGTCCAGCTGGCACACAGCAAGGGGGAAAGAGCCACGTTTTCAACATGCTGTCTGGAAGAATATGCAGGGTAAGAGCATTGCAGTCCTTTGGGTAGGTATATCAGGATCCAGCAGAGATGCACCTTCCTCACATGGAGCAGTAGGACTCTCTCCACAATCCTGTCCCTCCAGTGCACCTTTCTCACATGGCCATACTGTGTTTTGGGTTGGCATAAGCATCTTGGTAAAACCTTGAGCAAGGAAAAATTAAAATTAAAAAGGAACAGATGGTTTTGTTGGGTATGGTGGCCTTCTAGTTGTTCATTTGCTAAAAGTCTTACTTTGAAAAAGTTTTGCTTAAAGTTTTCATGTAAGACCTTTATGTTCTTCAAAAGTATTTTAGGGGGAGTAAGTGCTTTTATTTAGCCTACAAAGTGGCTAAATAGTCATAATAAGTTGCTTTAGCTGAATCATGCTGACTGGTTTTGTGTTTGCTAGCTTTGTAAATGGTCAGCAGTGCTCTTGTGCAGCAACTGGTGGGCTGTTGATCATCTCCCACAACGAGGCATTATTATAAATAGCTGAGGCTGCTATATTGTTTAAAGACCATTTATTGTGTCTTGAAAGGCCATGAATATGTGGGTCAAATGATCTGGTGACAGAGAAGGACAACACGTGGATAGGCTGTGCTTTGGCCTTGGTAGGGGTGTGCAGCCAGGTCTGGTGGCTTATGGAGCCTGGCCTTGGCAGTGTACAAGGCTGGACATGCTCTGTGGAGGTTTCACTGCAACACTGTGTCTGGAGTTGTGAAATCTTATTTCTTGAAAGGGATCTGAATGCAGAGATGGGGGATGTGACACAGGATTAGTCAGGACTCCAGGGTGGGTCTTGTGGCATTGGCCTCCTACAGGCACTGACTCATTCCCTTGCATAAGGAGGAGTAGTGCAAGCATTTGGTCAGTGTCATTTGGGATGCCCTGGGAAATTAATTTTTTTCATTGTGTGTCTGTCTCTCATATCAGCATCCCCATTCTTCAGCCACAGCACCAGCTGAAGGTGTAGACAACCTCTGCTCTCTCCCTGGGCAACTCCTACCACATTCGTCCAAGAAACCTTTCCCTCCCATCATCAGCCTTGGATTCCAGCCCCTCACAGGCTGGTCCACATGGCTGTTGGTGCTTCCAATTCTTTATGGCCCTCTCTACCCTGCTTCTTGCAACTGCACCATCCTGCCATGCTCCTTCTAGATGAGATAACAGCTCCTGGTTTAGTGTTTTGTTTTGTTTACTTATTTATTTGACACATGCTTTTTCTGCCTAGCCAGACTTTGTTTTGTTTACTTATTTATTTATTTGACACATGCTTTTTCTGCCTAGCCAGATTTGTAGACCTGCTGAATTTCATCCCAGAGAAAACAGGAGATGGGATCTGTTTGAAGTAGTTCAAGTGACTCCTGGATGGTAACCCATCCTTTTGTCTGGAATCTAAAAGTGTGGAAATGACAGCCAAAATCTGAGGTCTTCTAATGGGCAAGGGTGAAAGCATCTGGGCACAGTTCACACATGACACTTTGGTTTAGCTGCCAGTCACCGTTATGGCAAGCTGTGTCAATACATCTATTGATTTTTCTGCTCAGGGAATCGCAGTCTGAAAAATAAGTGTGGACCAAGGCTGGTGTTGGCTCTTCGGAGTCTCCTCTTCTTTCCTACAGGTAGTTCTCCCTTGTGGTGTTTGAACACAGCTCTCATATACGCTGCATATTTGTACAGGGCAGACAGCAGTCTTCCCATACTGTTCTGAGGTGTTTCTCTGCATTCCAGATGGAGGCTTGGGGCTGGTTTTTAAGCTTCTAAACATATTCAATCTTTTTTTTTGTGTCAGCTTTTATTCAAACAAATACAAGCAGTCTGTTTTGTGTGACACATGTCGCTGCATCTTAGTAATAAGCCAGGAGGGCTGTAGATTCAGGAGTATGGCATTCACCATTAAGTTACAGCTGGGAATAGTTCTGTATGTCTTTCCAGCCACTTATTTTATTACAATATCAGCTCCATCAGCACTTCATGACCAAGCCCACTGGTCATTCATACAAAAAACAAAAATGCGTCCCCGTGTTTTAATGAAAACCTTTTGATGACTTTATTTTGGTAGCAGTAGAAACATATTTCTTCAGCTGTTTTATGCATCTACCACAGCTGTGATATTTTGTTTTATTTAAATTTTATTCCAGTAAACTTTTAATGCTGAAACTTCCCTTTGGTGCAGTATTGTGCCTGTACTGTAACTCATTGTTCTGTTGGGGCATCACAGCCGAGATCCAGCAAGAGGAGTAGCAGTGTAGGCATTTTCACTGCTGTCAAAAAACTAGCTCAGAAGAGGTTTAAATGGAACCCCAAGTCCACTCCACAGTGGCAGCTTTCTTAGTGATGATACAATGATGGAAGGAAGACTTGTGCTGCTGTAGAAGATAAATTACTGCAGTAGGCATGGAAGGAATTAAGTCTTGCTTCCACTCTTTCTCATGCAAACGCTGAACATGCAGAGCAGGGACCTTACAAGCTTCCATGGAAGCTGATGTCAACAGGATTATTAAACACCAGCTGCTTCTGTAGGGAAGCGTGAGTGGAGGAGTTGGGTGTAGTTTGTGTTTGCAATGGTTGTATGCCCCCATGTTCTCTGCAGTGTGATTATATGTCTGTCTGCTTAACTTTCAGCTCATCAAAGCAGGGTCATCATGATTCTGTTTGTCCTGGAGATGGAGTGGGTGTTGAGCACCGGACAAGACAAACACTTCACGTGGCACTGTTCGGAGAGCGGCCAGCGCCTGGGGGGGTACCGCACCAGCGCAGGCGCCTGCGGCCTGCAGTATCCTTTGCTGAGCTCTCAGTTCTATTTCTGCTCTTTGGCACTCAAACAGCCCTTTTAGTTCAGTTGTCTAGTTGTCCTCCAAATTTTGTGCCCTGTATGGATTTAGTGCTTTGTAAGAGAAACTGTTATTTAAAGCCAATTTAAAAAACTGTCAGTTCTCCTTGCTTTGTCTCCTTAATGCATTGTGGCATATTTAGGTCTAAGCATTTTTGAGCACCACAATGGGCGATCTGCAACCTATTGTGGTCTGTTATTGTAATAAATATGGATAGGGTCTTCATTTAAACATGCAATGCATGCTTTCTTCAGAGAATTAATGGTAGCAAAAGTAGGTTGATGATCAGGTCAGAGTGCCTGTGTGTATGCGTGGTAAAAATTAAATTACTTTAATATAAAATAATGAACACTTGTCCTTCACTCTGGAACTGCTCACTATGTATTGGGAATTTGGGTTAACTAAAGAGTAAATTACTCCAGAAATGGCACTCAGGTGGCTTATTCATGTAGAGCTGCCCCAGCTGCCTGACAATAAAAGAAATATTAATTCAGCTTTATTGCAAATGAAAAGGTAAAGGAAAAGTATGAGCTCTTAGGCTGAAAACTGGGATTAGCATAAACAGACTTTTTAATGCCCCAGAGTGTATGTGGTACAGATGATGCATGTTTTACTAGTTCATGAGAAGTGATACTGAATGAAAATTATTGTTTCAAGATGGACTTGTTTTGTATTATCTGGTAATTCAGCCAATGTAAATGGCTAAAAGACTGAACTTATTTTCTAATTTATTGATAAATATTTTTGAAAGCATGATGCAAGAATTTGCCCTGTGTTCTATAAATCTCTCTAGAGAACAGCCAATTTTGACTGATTAAAACTTTTGGAGGACAATTTAATTTGGGTCATCTGATTATGATGGTGGAGGGCAGTGGAAGGGAGAATCACTGGCAAATACTGCAAAAATATTTGGCATAATCAGGATCAGGTTTGGAATTTTTTTGTCCTGCAGTGTCCTGTGTCCTTAAAATCAGTACTCCTTTGTATAATTTTGGGTGGGAGAGAGTGGATGCCATCTGATCTAGCACTTAAGTTACAAAGCCTGAGGAGACACTCTTATGTTCATGGTGAAGAGCTACTTCAATGGTGTTTCATAACAAAACCACAAACTGTGTCCTAGAATAGTCTTGTTTTTTCTCACCCGGGGTACTGCACTATTGGTATGAACAGGTATGAATATTATTAAGAGGAACAGGTGCCTGAAAGTACACTCTTGTGTACTTACAATACCTCCTTGAGACTGGAGCACTATTCACAAGATTGCAGTATACTCATGTCAAAAGAATTAGCAAGTCATGAAAGGAATGCAAAGCTTGTGTAAATAATATGTTTTCCTCAGCATCTATCCTTCAGATTTGATGTGGAAACCCGGCATGTGTTTGTTGGTGACCATTCTGGGCAAGTGACCATCCTCAAACTAGAGCAAGAGTCCTGCAGCCTTGTTACCACATTTAAGGGACACACAGGTAAGGCCTCAGGAGGAGACCCAGAAAGGTGCTCAGGAAGGTCCTCATCTGTGCTCAGCATCATGATGGTTTGACTGTCCTGTGGTATGCTAGGATGGCTTGTGTCAGTGCTTAGCATGGAAGGGACATAGCTCTGGATCTGTTCCAGCAATTCAGGAAAGCTGTGTTGGTAAAAACAAGAGTGATCAGAGCTCTGAGCAGAATACATCTGTGACAGAAAATGCCACAATCAGTAGCTGCTAATTAAAGCAGAGTGAGACTTGAACAAGTTGTGGTAGTTCTGGGAGGGAGAAAGGATGCTGTTAAAGGCAAGATTTGTATTGGCAGACACTTCATCCCAAGTGGAATAGGCACAGCTTGGAGGCACTAAATGCTTGTTTCACTGCTGGGACTTGTGCCCCATCACCCTTTGAAAAGAGCAACCCTGGACATGATCCTACCATCTAACAGAAGAAATGCTGTCATTCCTCAGCATTTTTTCGTCATATCCCTTCTCTCTAACTAAATGCTAGTAGCTCAAGGTAGCACAATATAGTGTTATCAGTCCTTGTGCTAGGGTACTGGGAAGATCCCCATAGCATTCCACACTTGCTTCTTTTTTAACCTTCTGGAAATTACAGAAATGGAAAGTTGTGTAGCTCCCACTGTGACCATTCTTCTTCCACACTTTCCTGCTCAATGGAGTCACCTATGCAAATGGCATTGAAGCCCTGTGCCCACAGAAGAGCAGGATGGGGTTTCAGTAGTTTTTCTAGACTGTTATTTTTCATCTGGAAGGCACATGGTTGCATAGTCTTTGCCAAAGAGATATGCATTTTAATCACTCAATTTTTTTTTTTTGTATCTTTATATTTAGCTACCTTCCAATCTTCCACTTCCAGTAATAAAATGACTGTTGTGTGTGTTCTGTTGCAGGTGGTGTCACTGCTCTCTGCTGGGACCCAATACAGCGAGTTTTATTCTCAGGCAGTTCTGATCATTCCATTATAATGTGGGATATTGGAGGAAGAAAAGGAACAGCCATCGAGCTTCAAGGACATAAGTATGTTCAAAGCCCTTCCTCCTGCTTTTATAGGAGAAAAGCTAAATGCAGAAGCCACATCTGGAAACAAACAGCCCAAAGGTTACAGTCTTCACAAGCCTCAAGCTTGTATGTGTGACTCCCTGTGGTCCGTATACAACAGGAATAATTTGCTTATAGTAAGTTTTCCAGTGTTGGGCCCACAGGCTGTTTTAAGAGTCTGCAGAGGGTGGTGAAGGAAAGCACAACATCTGTAGTCCTGAGTGTTATGCCAGAGCCTGTGCCTTTGTTGGAAAGAGGAGGCTCCTCAAATGAGCACAGCTGCAGGGAAATTCTTGGATTTTAGGTGTCAAAGTCTTTCCTTCCCCTAGAGGGAGCATCGGGCTTGGACAATTAATCCCTTTTTGCTCCGTGCTCTTTCACCTACAGCCTGAATTTGAAGTGATGTGCTTTTTACCTTTAACCATAGCAGTCTTCACATCTCCTCAGTGCAAAGAGGCATCATCTTTGCAAGTACATTTGCACAGCCATAGCTGTCTTTCAAGATGGGTAAGCCCGTGCTGAGCATTGATTATACATCAGAATGGCTCTAGTGGCAATGACTCCTCGCCTTTTAACTCTGGCAATGCAACAAGTTGATTTCAGAGTTTTGGGATTGCATATATGTGGGACTTGCATGCCAGGCTGAGGTCTGCAGATACAAAATCCCATGGTGGTTTTGAGCTAACAGTTTCCTACATATTCATACATTTCTTTTGAGTGATGCTGCACTCTGCTGAATGATTGGGATGCCTCTGGGATTTCAGAGCACTGCAGAGCTCTAACTGAAATTACCAGATCAACCTCATTCCTTACCATTGGTGCTTGCTAATGCATCACCACTTGATTTATTGCTGTGGAGATTAGTTCTAATATGAAATTAGCCTCTGGACCTTAATCTGTGAGATGGCTGTCAGCTGGAACTGTACAACACAGCATCCTACACATCCTGCTGGTGCCTCTGCAGGCAGGCACTGTGAAGGGTGGCCCTGTTGTCCCTAATTCTCCCATGAATGCATTTCCCTTTTCAAGTTTAGCCATAGGCACAAATAAATGTGTTAGCATGCAAGTCCTTTTGACAGACAAGACCAGTGGTGGTAGCAAAGGAAACCAAATCTTGTGGATGATTTCCAGTCACAGTATGTTCAGTTCCTATGTCTTCACAACCTTGTTTTTTCCATAACAGTGTTGTACAGTCTTTGTTTCCCAGTGTTCCCAGGTAAACAGCCTGAGATGAGGCCTGAATTTCTTTCTTTTATGAAGGACTGAACCTATCTTTGGGAGTTTAAGCTGAATTGTTCCTCCCATGTTGTTTTTTCATTAAAAGAAGAAACAGAAGCACCTAAATTTTCCACCTTACTGTGAGAAGGCTTAGGAACAATTTAGTGTCATTCCTGCATTATTCTTCAAACTCCTTATGCTTGTTAGTGTCAAAAGAAAACCTTCAGTAGTTTCTCAGTGATTCATTTCTAGATGTTGCAGAGATTTACAAAACAAAGTTGTTACTGACATTCTGCAAGAAGGTATCTTACCAGGGCTGCGTTTATGCATCCAGATGTGCCTTCACAAGCTGCAACCCTGTTGAGGCTTCTCAGTGCAGCTGGGATCTCATATCCCAGGAACAGCAAAAACAGTTGTCAGAACAGGTCTTTGCTTTCGTGGATGCTGCCCAGATGAGCAACACTCTCATTCTGGTCCCAGTCTGACAGCAAGGACTGATTTGCATCTGATGGATACCATGTGCAATGAGTGGTGGAGGGAAACATATGGGCAAACAAATGGTTTGTACTGCTTTATTGATATTCTGTGCTCACTTGTGCAGTAGCCATAGGTGGTTGATTGCTAACTGTCTTGTTTCTTTCTCAGTGATAAAGTTCAGTCTCTCTCCTATGCTCACCACACTCGGCAGCTCATCTCCTGTGGTGCGGACGGGGGAATCGTCGTCTGGAACATGGATGTTGAGAGGCAGGAGGTAGATACTTAGTTTTTGTCAGTTTGGTCTGAAGCAGTCCTGGGAAGAAGGGACCTTTCTAAAATGTGCAGCTTTCAACCTAAACAAGATCATTCCAAGGTTTAAAAACGTTTCTGGACATGCTCCAGTTGTTATACAGCAATTATGTCATGCCTTTGATAATATGGTACAGGGGAAATCAGCTGGCAGAAATTTGTATTAAATAGGCTGCTAAATGGCTCTTGCTCATTACATTACTGCTCTGAAAGATATTCTGTTAGGAGGATATTGAGATGCTCTGCCATGTTTTTCAGCATGTCATGAGAAATAGCAGTTCAGATGTAAATGGATGGACTGATTGATTCATTTTGGTTTGAAAAAAGTAAAACAAGAAGGCTCTTGGTCATCTCTGGGAAAACGCAACCCAGCATTTTTTTTTCCTTGATAAGAGGACATTTAACTAAGGCTTCAATCTTACCTGCTACTTAGTCTTGCTTCCCTCTGGTGTAACCACATAGAAGTGGAGTAAATGATGGCTTTGCTGATCCAGACAGTAAGATTTCACCCACACATTCCTAATTGCTTTTGTGCTTCATGGCCAACAAATGTAAGCGGGTGCAGAAACGCTTCCCAGGTCTTTGGCATTGTGGGAGCAGCCCCCACTTGGCAATTTCTGAGTCCTGACTCAGAGAGTGGGCAGTGAGCTCTGTGCTGGCTGAGTCAGGCACCAGCCCTGCTTAGGAGCTTGGCAAATCCTGGTGCCATGAGTCACAGCAAACCTGTGCCCTCTTCCTGCAGGGGGTAGGTCAGAGGAAGGCTTTTGGTAGCATGGGTTTTCACCAGCTTTGCTGGGTCTCAAGAGTTGTGGCCTGCATGGATTGAGTGTGTCTCCCTTGAGGAAGAAAAAATGCTAAGTGGAAAACTTGATTTTAAAAAACTACTGAAGTAGGCATAGGCAGAAACTGAGCTCCCTTTTAAATGTGAATTAGTATTCCAGTTTGCTCTCTTTAATTGCTAATCCAGGGGCCAAGTACGTCATCAGCTCCTAAATTGAAACGAAAGCAGAGCAGTTTCCTCCTTCCCAACAGATGTTTCCTTTTTGCTGCAGGTCAAACATCCAGAAATGAAAACCTTTATTTATTTGCTGCCTTCAAAAGGCTACAGTAAGGGTTAAGATTGGCTTGTCACCAAATAGACAGGAATGCTGTGAGAGGCTGGTTTAAAATATAGAGAAGGAATATTATTAGCTAAATAAAGGCCAAGCAGCAGGTGCTAATGGTGCACAGCTTTCCCAGACTATGGCTGTGTGGGCTTGTTCTTGTTATCAGCAGCACAACAGGGTGTTCTTGGTGCTAAACCACCCCCAAAACATGAATCTTTGAGATTTTAATATCAAACCTTGGTTTTGGGTCCTTGATCACTTACTTTTGGATTTTGGCTTTTGTATATTTGCCCTTATTTAAGGATTTTCTCCATGTAATATGTGCTCAGTACTCAATTTGTTGCAATCAGACTTTCCCATATTTTTGAGACTGTGTTAGAATCATTTTCACTTAAGCCATTTTAGCCCTTGATTCTTTATTTTCAACTCAATTTTTAAAAAGCTGTAAGCAGATGTTTGAAAGATGCTATAAGCTGTCTTTCTGTTTGACTACAAAGTGGTTACTTGTCACAAACAAAATGTTATCTTCATCTGTAGTGTTCACATGCCCAAGAGATGGAAAGTTATACACAGAGATGTAAATCTGTAGGCATTAAAAAGAAAGACTGCTGTGGGTAGAAAAGAAAAGGCTTTTCCCCAGCAGAATGAACTGCCTTCAGAATAACGGGCAGAAGAATATGAAAAAGGTGATTGCTTTATTGCTGGGAGTCAAAGCCATCCTGGGAGCTGAGGGTCTCAATCCATCCTTAATTTGCCTTTGCCTGGCTTTTCTGTTTTTAGTTCTTTATCTCGCCTGTGTTTCTTGCCATTTTAATTTGCAGCATGTGAGAAACCAGTGGCTCTGACAAGACAACTGCAGTTTGCTAATAGTGCTTCCTCACAAAGTATTAAACAATATTTAGTGTGTATTTAACCTCATGGGTTGATAAAGGAAAAGAGCTTGGGTTTGGTTTGGGTCATAGGCTTGTTCAGGTGAATTACATCTTTCTCATCCCTGTGTGTGATTTGTAGCACGGGCACCTCTGGGAGCAGGAACTCCTCTTAGGGTGTTAAAGAAAGAAAGAATACAAAACCCCCCAACAACATCAGCATTTCCCATAACTTCCCTTTCCCTTCAGATGATTTGCTTGGCTATTGGAAATATTAATTGACCCCAGCTCCCACCAGAGGCAATAGCAGATGGTAAATGCTGTCCCCACAAATATAAGAAAATATTTCTATATGTTTCATTCCTGAATTCATTTGTTTCCATGGTCTTACTATCAAACTCTTCTTCATGATTTGGATGAGAACTGTTCCTCCCATGTCCTTCAAAGCTCAAAGCTAAGCCAAAAAAGACATCCCAGGGAACAAATATCACCATCATCAACAGCAGTCAAAATGTCATCTTGGGAAAACTGAGATAGTAAATCAAGCTTAGCTGGCCATATTGCCACACCACAACACATCTTTTTTGTCCTGCCTCTAGGCTCCACTGGAAATGTTTCTGCTTGTTGCTCACTTCCACTTTGTGTTTGTGTGTGTGTGTTGCAGACGCCAGAGTGGCTGGATAGTGACTCCTGTCAAAAATGTGACCAGCCTTTCTTCTGGAACTTCAAGCAGATGTGGGACAGTAAGAAAATAGGCCTCAGGCAGGTTTGTATGTGCCCTTCAGTGTGTTAGCATGGTGCTATTAGGCTTTTCTCTCATAAAGGATTCTAGTAACCTTTTTCCCCCGTAAAGCTTTGAGAATTTGCACTTTGTTCTTTCACTGAGTGCTCAGGAGTGGGACAGTGGTTTCCCCTCTGTGGCTTGATTTTGTGGTTGAAAGGAACACACTGTTTTATTTCCAATCAATTCCAATAGCAAATGTATGTAATAGGCCTTGGGCTGAGTACATCTGGGGCCTTCCATGACTTTAGCCATGGGGGACTTTGCTCATTGTTAGTCAAATAAATTACAAAAGAAATTTATAGCTGATTTTTGGAGACTGCTGGTACCAAAGCCGTTTTCAATGAGATTGGATAAACATCTCTACCTGCTCAGGCTGTATTGGGAAAGGCTTAGTGGTCTGCTTGAAACATGCTGTGTTTTCCTGCCTAGCATCAGAGGGCTGCAGATTGCAGCCCTTTTGCAACTTTTACAAAAGGGGTGTAGAAGTGCTGCAAGTGCTCATGGAACTTGAGAAATGAGTTGTCTGGGGCAGAGCTGAGCTGTGTCGTGTCTTGCTGGAGTGAGATGGAAGAGCCACTTGAGCAGTGACCTGGTCTGGGTTTGTGGCCTGAGATGTCTTTCTGCCTGTTGTCTCCTGCAGCATCACTGCCGGAAGTGCGGGAAAGCCGTGTGCGGGAAATGCAGCTCCAAGCGCTCCTCCATCCCGCTGATGGGGTTCGAGTTCGAAGTGAGGGTCTGTGACAGCTGCCACGAGTCCATAACGGATGAGGAGTAAGTGTGGACACTGAGCTGGCTTGCACTGCAACGGGGGAAACTCCTGCAGCTGAAGGGCCTGGGTGGGTGCAAGGCTCCAGGAGGGAGCAGCCTGGCACGGTGGTCCCTGGGCTTTCTCAGCAGGATAAGGAGGAGACAAAGCCAGGAGGGATAGAAAGCCCCTCAGCCCTGTTCCTTTCAGGCCAGAAAGGTCTCAAAGTGCTGTTTACAGAGTGGTTGCTGAATTAATGGCTTACAGCAGCAGTCAAATACTTATTTCCTCAATAGAGAACATTATGGGGGGAAATCCTGCAGTTACAGTTCTTGCTGATTTTTGGATTTCTTTCTTCAGGCGGGCGCCTACAGCTACTTTCCACGACAGTAAGCACAACATTGTTCATGTACACTTTGATGCCACCAGGGGATGGCTGCTGACCTCGGGGACAGACAAGGTTATTAAGGTAGGAGCAAGAAATGTGCTCTAGCTCCTTTACTTCATTTCCCTTCCCTCTCCCGTGTGGCTGCAGGATGTCATACCTGCCTTCCTCCACCCAGAGACTTCTCACTTGCGATTGGGATTAGGATTTCTGCCCAATAAGGACCAAGGAGGTCTTGGTCTGTGAAGTTCTTGCCTGAAGGGGCCGGGACAAGTGCTCACTGTAGCTTTCCCTTGAGGAAGACCAACTGGTTTTCAACATGCCAAATCTCAGTGTGGCTAGATAAAGAAATAGCTAAAATAATAACTAAGTTATAACAGTTTGAGTAATTTAAAAAAACAAAATCCTCACAGTGTGTTATGACTGTTCTGACCATTGAAGTTAGTTATGTAGTGGGAGTTTTTTTGGTTTCTTTTAAGGCCAGCTATGAACCTGGCTCATACAGGTGAAAGCTGGTGACATACAGAATGCCATTTCATCAGCCTCCACCACTGACGTAAGTGCTGGAAAATTAAATAAAACTTCTTCAGACTTGTTGCATCCACCTCTAACCATCTTCCCCCTCTTAATTAAAGAAAAAAGGTTTAAATTATATTATATAAAGGTTCAATTTTATTGTATTTTATTGTCTTTTACCAATATTCATTATGTTTTATTTTATTGTATTTAACAGTTGTGGGATATGACACCAGTAGTGTCTTGATGTTACATCAGTGGAACTTGAAAGGTGATATTTACAGAAGAAACGGATTTCCTAACCCCAATTATACTGCAGAAGATAGATAACACTGGGCACATATGGCAGATGAGAAAGGAACTAACGTGTTTACAACAACTTTATGTCCTCTGCTTGATCCAGGCTGAACATTTGCACGAAGACTCTTTCCACTTCTCAAAATATACAAGAAGGTATTTTTTTAACTAACGGTTTGTACGATCTGACTTTGGTTGTCTTGAGTTTGTTTGGAAAAATCTGTGTGCAGTGCAATTTTTAGTTTTTATATTTCAGTATGTCAAGATACTTGCTGCTTTGTACAGAGGGTTCTTGGGTTGTGTCTTCCTCTGTGAGTTTTTGGTGTCAACAGACTGTGTAAGGCAATTGGCTCTCCCTGCAGCCAGTACCTGTTGGTTTGGAATATTTCTGCTGACCATGCTCTCTCCAGAGGAGGAAATCCAGGCATGGTCTCTGGGTGCATCACCAAGGAGCTGATGGACTATTGCAATTCCTTTAAGGGCTCTACCATCTACTTGTCCTAGTGGGCATCATCCAGAGAGCATTCATTGGTCTGTATAATCTTCCTGCCTCTCCCTTTGCGGCACAAGTCGCAGAACCAGGTCAGGTTATGCAGCAACTGATTTCTACACAAAACTGAAATTGTTTTCCATCTCAGAGCATTATAAGGAGCACACAGACTTGTTTGAGTTTGATGATGCTGACAGTCTGATTCAAATGAAATTAATGGCAACAGGAACTTTTGGGAGTGCGTGCATGGAGGGGGGCAGATCTAAAACTGGTCTAGATCTGAAAAGTCTGGTTTATCTCTACCTCTACCTCTACCTTGCACAGCAACATTTCAGCATTTATACCTGTCTGTGTTGTTGAAGATGAATTTTGTTCTTCCTGTTTTCCATATGGTTAGTCATATTTATTTTTTTAAATGCTGATGGTTTTTATTAATTTTCTTTATAGACCCAGAAGTGATATTGCTGAATGATGCCCATTGTCCTGTTGTCATACTTTACAGTTTCTCTTAAAAATAAACAGTATTTAAAAACCTGGATTGACCAAAATTACCTTTTTAGAATGACATTGTCAAGGTGAATAAAATAAAAAAGCCCTTTTTTCCAAAGGGACCTTCTCTGAAGAGCCAACTCTCCATTCCATTAATCCACGTTATTTCTTAGCATGATACTACTCACACACTTCAAAGAAACTGGTGCAGAGAATTTGCTCTGCAAAGGCCTTCCTGCATCTCCTGTGTCAGCAGGCCTTGTGACACAGCACATTGGTGGTGCTCAGTCTTGCCCTGTTTTGGACTTCCCTTCTTCCCTCTGTAGTGGGGAGGCCATGACATTTGCCACTTCAGAGCACACTGCTACCTGGAGAAGCCTTGTGTTCTCTCTTGAGAGAGAATGTCAAAAGAAAATAAAGCTTCTCCTTTCTTTGCCCAGCAGCAATTCACTTTTGAGGGAAAAAAAAAATGGTTACCTCAGTCCATGGCATTAATTCTGATCGAGTGAGCTGCTGCAGTAAAGGGTGAGTGGAATTCTGTGTGCATGTCACAGGACTGCTATGTATTTTCAGGAAAAATTCTCTCCTTAAACATCTTGTAACCTGTGATAAAGCATTTTGCAGTCATGTTCTCTGAAATAACACCACCTTGGGTTTCCTGGTCATACAGTCTGTTGTTGGTTCCCCTCCAGACAGCATATTTTAAAGCATATTTTCAAACATAATTCGCACAGTACTATTATTTTTCCAACTTGAAAGTTGTTTTCTCAGTCTTCCCACGTTCTCTCCTGGAAACTAGATGCTTGTTTCCTCTTGGAATGCTTTTCATTACACCTTGTGCATGTTTTCTGATGACTGAAGTGTTACTGGCTGTCAAAGCTATGCAACATGAGCAAGTGGCCTGCCATATTTCATTCCAGCTGGAGAGTATGTACAAAGCTTTGCTGGACTATGGTGTTCCATGTTCCCTTGGGCTCAGGGCCTTTGGCCAGAGACCTGACTTGTGCTGTGCAGGGAGTGCATCTCATGGTGACAGAAGCACGGGCGCACCGAAGTGAATTTAAATTGCTGTTTAGTGCTCGGTTCCTGAGGAGACAGCACTGGCACCAAGGCTGGACTCCAGCATGAATTGTGCTCACACTGATGGAATGATGGAGTCAGCAAGCTGAGGATCTACCCCTGGGTCAACGCCTACTCCTGAATGTGTAATGTGCAAACGAAGGTGAAGAACTGATTCCAAAGAAGACTACATTTGAGAATTACTTGTTTGGACTGTTCTGCAATAAACTCCTGGCCATTTCCCCCTTGTCTTCCAAGGAGTTGTGGTTTCAGTGTTGCTTATATGTGGATGTGGGGTATGCAAAACTCTTTTGCAGAATTTTCCTAGTTGTTCTTTCTCACTGAATAACCTGCAGGGTTATCTGGATTTAAGCTAAACATCTCCTTATCTTACAGTCTCAGGACAAAATGCTCTGGGCTTAGAAAATTATATAAACTGCAAGTGAAACTGAGGGGGGGAAGGAAAATTTGTCCCTTTGCAATGCCCTCAAGAGCTGTAATGTAGAGATTATGAAGGGAATATAGATGCATCTAATTCTATAATTCTTTTACTTTCCAAATGAAACAAGAAGGATTTGACACTGGGAGAGATAAAATCCATGACTTCCTCTTCTGCTGTGTTAGAGTAACAATTTCAGTTTCTTCTGTCTGCTTGATGCATAAGAAAAGGGATCTCAGTTGTCTGATCCTTTTTTTTTTTTCCCCGTTTTGCTTGCTGAATAGTGAATTTGGGCTATTTTTACGAATTTCACTGTTGGAGGGTGGGAGGAGGGTGTGTTTTGATACAGGTGTAAACTATGCAGTGCCACATACCTACACACACTCTCAAATGAAGCCAAGCCCCCTTTTCCTGGGGCTGCTGAAGTGCAGTACCTTTAGTGATACCTCATGCTGTGACAAGGGGCACACAAACATAGCCAGCTCCCTCTGCTCTACCCATCAGAAAAGGTGATTTTCATTTCTCCCTTAGCTGGTGCTTCCTTGGGGGAAGTGTTCCGCAGAGCATCTGCCTGCTATTCTTGGTTTTAAAATGAGCAGTGTCTGTAGGGCTTAGGCAGCTGATGGGGCAGGTGCTGGTCACATACACAGTGCCTGAGCAGCTTGCTGGAGTCACTTGTGGCCCAATCTGAGCACCAAACTTCAGTCTTTTTAAGCTGAAAATATTTAGGTGAAGGGAATAGAATGTGGGCATCTGCTTGCAATGTAGCATTGATGGTCCTCCCATCCACCAGAAGACTTAATGTCATGGTTAGATGTTGAAACAGAGCAGTGATAGGGCTACAAGTCAGCCAGTCTGACAGAGGATAATCCTGAACAGTGACATTGGTGTGCTCAGCTGTGAGCACCCTTGTCTGCAGCTGCTTTTTGCAGCCAAGCCCAGGTGACCTCCCTGCTCTGTCCTCCTGAACTTGAGGCCATCACCTGAGTGCCAGCATGTGGGCTCTTAGTACCTCAGTAGTGGTTACTGCACTTTGCCTGAGAGGGTGGCATGGGCATCTCTGTACTGGGAAAGGGAGGGATGTGTTCCCTCTGAGTGGGGGAAATGAAACCACTGTATGGAGTCCAGCAAAGGGCCACTGAGGTGGTGAAAGGTACAGGAGCATATCTGGCAGAGCTGGGACTGTTCATCTTGGAGAAAAGAAGGCTCAGAGGGATCTCATCAGTGTGTATAAATGCCTGAAGAGAGGGTGCAAAGAGAATGCACTGGTGTCCAGTGACAGGGCCAGAGGCAATGGACACAAACAGAAACACAGATTTCCTCTGAACATCAGGAAACAACTTTTACTGTAAGGATGACTGCGGATGGGCACAGACTGGCCAGGCAGGTAGTTTGTGGGTTCTCCATCTTTGGAGAAAACCCAACTGGACATGACCCTGGGCAGCCACCTCCGGGTGACCCTGCTTGAGCACGACCAGATGACCTTTGAAGGTTCTTTCCCACCTTGGCCATTCTGTGATTCAAAGTCCACTTAATGCCTGTGTCTACTCTATTGCTTAGAGAAGGAAAAAAAGAACTATCTTTCCTTAAATCAAAACTACTACCAAATTAGCAAATATTACCAATGTCTGGCCTCACTGTTCCAAACAGGATTTGCATACCAGCAACCAAAGTTCTGCTTTGTAGCACACAAGAAGTAGGGCTACAATGTGTGGTTTTACAGCCATGTCCTTTCCAGGAGACTGCATTGAGCACATGGGATGTTTTTAATTAGAACTTACAAGATGCAACAGTAACAACAAACTTGATCCTTTTTTCAGGATGTATTGATGTCCTGAGTCCCTTCAGTGATGACCTCTTATGTAATATTGAGGAAGACAGAGATTTTTCTCTGAATGTTGGCAAGAAATCTTTGCTCCTCAAAAGACAAAAAAATGTCCCTAGCTTGCCAATAACTGGAAGTTCTGGGATTTGAGGTTAATTTTGTGTGATCACATGTCACTTTTCATTGCATTTTCCCAGTTTGGGGATTTTCCCTTGTGACCAGTCTTTGGCCATCTCTGAAATTTTGTTTGCTGCAGGACACATTGTCCTGCTCAGAAGAGAAAGAGATTGAGTTCAGTTGAAATTGCTGCCAAGTAGGGACATTGAACTCAAACCAAAATGAAACCACAAGAGCACATTCCTGGCAAAGTCAGTGCAAAGAGGGGATACCAGGAAAGAATGCTATCAGCATACAAACAAAACCTAAAAAAACCAAACCAAACCAAAAAGCATCTACAGTATAGAAATGAATATACATCAGAGCTATATAAAGACACACCTAACCCCCATCCCAGTACTGTAAGCCAGCCAGCAGCCATGGTCCAGATCCAGAAGCCACAAGGAACACAGAGTTGTTCCAGTCAATGAAGATTTGACTTCCATTTCTTGTTCTTTGGTTCAATTGCCAAATAATATTTATCTACCTCAAGTAGTTTTTTCAGGACTGCATTAAATGCATAAGCACTTCAATATTAAGAGGATGGGGAAGAGACATATTACACTGAGATGGTACAGAAGAGGTGTCAGGCCTTATGAAGATACTCTGTCCAGTTATTTTTCTTTAGATTTTAAATAATCTGAATTTATTAAAGGGTTTATCACCTTTACACTTATATTTTATCACAGGTCAAGACTTCCTTCCGATGTGAAAAAGCCATTGCTAACACCCCTGTTTTGTCCTGTCCCAAGAAAATTCTGTGGGGTTGCCACGGCCAAGTAATTAAGAAATTTTCACAAATAAGTTCACAAACTCCTTGCTATATCTTTGCCATTAGCACTAGTTTTGGCTGTGGTTTAGCTTTCCAAAGGCTGAGCCTTGTTTCTGACTCTGCTTGGTAAGTTGTCATACTGACTAATACCTCATAGGCTTTGCTGTCTTTTTGATTAGAGGGATTTTGTATGAAAAAAAGCTCTTACTGGCTTTTGTTCAGGTCAGTGTTTTATATGAATGCTGCTCAACAATTTGACTTTTTCTACCAACTACATTGTAACACTTTCCAGTACTGTTCCATTATGTAAATAAGTGTCTCCCATGTAGCTGAATAAATTGTGGTACCTTAACCCCACTAAATTAATTTCTATCAGCTTTTGGCTATTTCTTTTCCCTCTCTATGTGTGTAATGAGGAATTTGCTTTATTGAATTTTGGCTGGAATCATTCACCTGCCTGTTCTGTGAATTGTCATAAAACTGACAGCTGTTGTATGGACATGTCTTTTGCCTGGACAAATTCTTGCCCTGAGTGCCTGGCAGTGGGTGAGCAGCCCAAAGGAAATGGTGTCTGGGCAGTGGAGAGGAATTGCATGATTTTGTGCATTGCTCCAAGGCTCCCTGTGGATTGTGGATTCTGAACTGAAAAGTAAAGGGAAGATGCTCAAGATTTTTAATCACAAAAGAAAACGGCACTTCCTGGGACCTCTCTCCCTGAAGTTTGCACAAGTGCAGGTTTTACCACTCTTCCCATTTGGACAATATTTTTATCTGTGAAGTGGCACTGCTGGTACAGCAAAGGTCTGAGTTGTTTCTCCTGGCAGCAGGGTAGGAACCTGTCCTGCTGAAGACCTTTGCCCAGGCTGACACTGTGCCCCTTTGTAAAGCTGAGCATTAGCTTTTAGCTTTTGTTTTGAGAGAAAACACATTTCCTTCAGATGAATACATAATTTTTATCTGATGGCTCCCTCTAGAGAAAGGAACATAAATACTGATGTACTTCACAAATTTAAGTTCTTGGATTTGATCACTTTTAGTCCCAGAAGTGTTTTTGTTCCACTTGCTCCCTATCAGTTTCGGTGCCTTTTCAAAGCCTTCTTTCTCTCATTGTGTAGATCAGTGCTTTTTGGACGACCACAGGAAGGCAGAATTTTCAAGTCATCTTAGCTGCATTTTAAAATTATCTCCTGTCATCAGTTTCTGGCTCTGCTTGAATGTGCCCAGAATTACCTCTCCTACCAAAGCAAGAGATGGAAGCCTGAGACAAACAGGGAAATACTGTGAGATGAGCTCGGGAGGATGCAAAGCTCTGCACTGCCAGAGTGGAAACTGCCTGTCTAAAATGACTGTGGGTGGATGTTGACCAGCACTAGTTTTAAATAAGCATGATCCAATGTCATGAGATGGGGTGCTTTATTTTTGCAGAGAGGATGTGAGAGCAACACACAGAGGAACTTACAGATTTGAACTGCTTCATAGCTGCCCTCCTCCACTGTTCCATCAAGTTGTTCCCTGAAAGACTAACTCCACTCATCAAGTTCAGCCCTGCTTAAGGAAAACTAGTACTGCTTCAAGTACCATGGCTTTTAGAGAGGCTTTGTAATTACAAAAATGCAAATTAGTGCTTGTACTGACAATTGAAATGGCTGGGCTTATCCCCCCACCAAATTAATCCATTTACACTGAAGTTTGCAGGACTGACTTATCAGACTATAATGAAGGATATAGCAGAAGTAACTCCCTTTGAGCCCAGGCAGTGCATATTCAAAATCCCACCTGAGCCTTGTTTAACAGGAAGGGATGGCCCTGCTCACACCTTGTTCCCACTGAGCAGAACACAGAAGCTGGAGTGCGTGTTACTGCAAATGCCAACAATTGGTATTTGCAGTTTACTCCACAATTGTGAGGTATGTATGGGACTGCCCCCATTCAAAGGCAAACAACAAACAATTTTTTACACCTTTAATCAGCAGGTTGATTTAGTTTATTGGGTTTTTTTAAACAATGAATAAAGATGACCCAGATATGAAATTAAAAACAAAATGCAGTTTACAAAATTGTTTGATACCTATTACACTGATATCCTAAAATTTTCATCCAAAACAAAAAGAGAAGTTGCAGTGGCCCCTGCACCACTGCAGTCACTCCTCCGGCGCTGATGATGGGCTGTGCCTTTCCCTGAGGAGGTAGGGAAATGACCAACTCCACATGAGCTCTGTGGTACTATATTCCTGTGCAAGATCCCTGAGAGCAAAAGCTTCCCAACTAGGTGACTTCATGAAGTGAAGAAAAATGCAAAGCCATCAGAGTGAGGTCAGAGTCATAAAAGCCTCGAGGCTGCCACAAGAAGTGTGGGGCTGCACCTGGACTGGAAAGGGTGGCAAGAGCAGCTGCTGTGCTTGTCATTCTACTCCCATGAACCAGGTGTGCTCTCAACCTCCCAGTGTGCACTGCTTAGCAAGGACCTGTGCCACCCTCACCTTCTGGTCATCTGGCACTGGATGCTATTTTTGTTTTGTTCATAAAGTTTTAAAAGTGGAAGAGGAGACTGAGGGGGAGACCTAATCACAGCCTACAACTTCCTTGTGAGGGGAAGAGGAGGGGCCAGCACTGACCTCTTCTCTGGGGTGACCAGTGACAGGGCCCAAAGGAATGGCATGAGGTTGTGTCAGAGCAGGTCTAGGTTGCATAGCAGGAAAAGATTCTTTACCCCCAGGGTGGTTGGGCACTGGAACAGCCGCCCAGGGAAATGCTCAAAGCACCAAGCCTGACAGAGTTCAAGGAGCATTTGGACAATGCTGTCAGGCACATGGTGTGACTCCTGGGGCATCCTGTGCAGGGCCAGGAGTTGGACTCCATGATCCTTGTGGGCCCTTTCCGACTCAGCATAATCTGTGAGTCTACAACTGTATTCACTTACATGAAGGTGCAAGTCATTCTGGATTGCATTTGCATTAGACAAATCCTCTTGCTGGCTTGCAGCCACATGCCATGTTTGCTTTCGTGGAATCAGGCTGAAACAAAGCATCAGCAGGACCATAATACCAAAGTGTGTGACACTCTGGACTTTGTTTCTACTTGCTGTTCCTGTGGTTTAGTTCTTTTTAAATCAGAAGTGCTCTTAAACCATAGCATGTTGCTCTTTGACACTGTGACCAAACTTGGATTAAAGCAGTTTTCTTAACTTTGGCTTCATTTTTAAGCTGTGACACAAAATGAAAAATATAGGCTGTTCAAATGCACTAGCACAGAATGTGGACTAAAATGTGTTAAATATATACATATATAGTGCACAGTTTTTACTTTTATGAACTATTTAAATACCAGTCATTAAACTTTTCTTCTGTACTGCAGAGCTGAGAAGCAAATTGATGTAAATACTAAATAATGCAAATGTTTTTATTAACCTTGCAGCTATTGGGTTAAGAAATGTAGTTACTATATATGCTACCAGCCATGCTCTTGTTTTGGGTAACTGTATTCAACAGCTGAAACCACAGAAAATGTTAATACCAGATTTGCAGGAAATAAACCTCTGTACAAGCCTTGCTGTTGTTTTCTTTCACTGTAGTGCAAGAAGGAGTTAAGTTTAAAAATGAGGCAATAACTGGAATGCTGACCCAGGAGGACCTGTGACAGCCTGACTTGTCTCAGCACTGCTTATCATGGCAAATTTTTCTCAGGGCCTCTCAGACAGTAAAGTCTTCTAAGGAGATTGACAATAGGCTGAAAAAAAGGAGTTTTTTTCTTAAATTGATACTTAATAGTCCACTCACAGTCTTTAGCTGTCAGTCACTGCAGAGAGCTCAAGAACATCTGTGTTACTGAGTTTTTTTCTTAAACTGATACTTAATAGTAGATCTTTGTATAACAAGGAAATAGGAGGCAACTTAATTACATAAACCAGACAGAAGGAGCTCCCCTCTGTCCATCACCAGTCTTTAGCTGTCAGTCACTGCAGAGAGCTCAAGAACATCTGTGTTACATTTGTGTTCAGGTCCTTGGTCCTATCACACTGGTGTGAGCCACATGTGAAACAGTGCAGCACCTTGGCTGGGTTCTGGAGGCAGCTGGTTAATACACACACTCAGTTCAGGAGAAAAGGTGTTACCTTTGTTAATAATAGTCCTGGCTTTGCAGTAAAGCTGAAATAATTAAGACAAAATGAGTCCCACCAGAAAGTCTAAGTGTGAGCTGATTGTCTTCAGCACTTTTAGAAAGATGCAGCACTGTAGGTGGTGTTTCTTAAACTAGATCCAGTAAATCCCTGTGAAAAAGCCCATTTTTCCCTCTACCGATTTACGGTGAGAAACTCAATGAGTAATTCAAATGGCCACAGATCAGATAGGATGAATCCTGTCCTCTGTGTCTGGAAGCAAACACATCCAGACAAAATACAAGCTTCTCATCAGGAGGTGGACTCTCCTCTAAGACCTGTGCCATGCCAGTTCTCCCTTCCCCTCTTAATCTATTCACAATAATAAAACAATTGCCTTTAATCTCTCAGAGAAATGGCAAGCAGGTACATCTTAGCATGTTTCTTTTTGTGCCTACAGTCATGCAGCCACTTCTCTGCTAGATCCACCCATGTCTGGGTGTGTTGTGTTGAAACCTCCTATTTCATGGTATTTTGACATAAATGGGATAATATTTAGCCCTGGCTCCATCAAGTAATGTGGAAGGCATTTGGCAGTGTTCCTAAATTCTTGCTGTTTAAACATGAGGAAGCGGATAACTTCTGCATACCAGCACTAATTTATAGAAACTAAAGTCCGTGAGGAATCCTTCCCTTTAAACTAAGCAGGCTCTGCAAGAGAGTTTCTGCATTCCCAGTTACATGCTTGAGCCCAATCACCCTCATGCAGTGAAGGAAGCCACCAACCTGTCAAATACAGCAGTTTAAAGCTGCTTAAAACATTCCCACGTCTTTCCTGAAGTCCTTCACGAAGGCTACTGAAAGTACACTCCTCTGCATTTCTCTGTGCTGAGTGTTTTAAATTATTCTAGGTAACTTTACAAAGTCTCAGGGCTTATTTTAATGCCTCTCAATTTTTCTTCCAATCCAAAGAACACAACCTTAGTGTGTCTTGAGGCAGCAGCTGCATATTCACAATGGGAGAGACTTGGCAGCAAGAAAAGAGAAAAATTACACAGGTGCCACTCTACTACCTCATTATGAGAACACCTGAACCTAATTCATTTTTAACAGGCCTATGGCATCCTACTTCCCCTCAACAGCACATTACTGTGTAATTAGAAGATTTGTGGTGACACTGTGTCAGCAGAGACACTAAATTCCTGGAGAAACAGATTTAAACTTCTGGGAGAATTCTTCCAGCATCTCCATTAGCTTCTCTTCATCCTCCGGTGGACTGTGGGTGTATGCTAGGGGTAAGTGTGTAGGGACTGGTTGCCTGTCTGGAAGAAAAGAAGAGAAAAAAACCAACCTTATGGGTACATTTAACTCTCTTATAGCAGAGAGGAGGTTTTTTTGATAGACTCTGTACTGCCCAAACATACCTCATGGTCTTGAAGGCAGGAAAATTAACCTTCTAGGTACCTGTAAATAATGCTACTTAACCATATCTCCTAAACCAAAATTAAACCAATTTGTATTTTGGAGCTGGAGTAATTTTTCTGTAGCACAATATGACCTGGACTGTGCAGCAAGCCCCCCTTTGCAGCTGGGGACAGTTTAGGAGAAAGAAGACTTCCTTGTGGGGTTATGCCTGTCAGTAGGGCAGCACCTCCAGGCAAAGACAAATAGCTGGAGTTTGTTGCTGCAGGCAGAGGATGATTCTGCACTTGAAACAACATTTTTCCTTGCCTCCTGGATAACATTTCTAGTAATGTACAAATCCCCAGCTGGGACTTTGTAGTTAGGATTATTTTCAATTTTTAAATCCTTACTTTCATCCTTGGAAACAATGGTTAAATTCTAAATGCAAAGGAACTTGGGCTTATTGCTCAGTCATCACAAGTAACACATATCCAACCAAGTTTGCTCAGTTTGATGCTTTGCTTGGTTTTCCAGATGTCATGCCTGTCACTCACTCTGTAAATACAGCTGTTACCACCATCCACTCTAAGGGATTTTCCCCTCCAAATCATGGTGTCTAGAGCCTGGAGCCTTACAACAATGCTGTCAGGTGTCTGTGGAACAACACTCAGAGCACTGGTGCAGCACTGTTAAGTCTACTTAGCAAGCCCAACTTCCACAGCAGCCAGCTGAGACAAAAAGAACAAGCTGTTGCAACCCTGGGCAGCAGATTTCCCTAAAAACCTATCAGGCTGCCACTGGCCTCCCCACAAGAGCAGAGGTATTTGCTGTCTTAAGAGCAAATGTTTACCTGACTGCACACACCACATAACTTCTGCTCGTGGAAAACTGAGGAGAGTAATGTTCCCTTCTCCATCACCGCTTATGAATGGCTTCCCACCTAGCCACAGTGCTGCCAGTAGCCTGTGCTAAAATTTGGGAACTAGGTATGAAAGCCAAGTTCAGCATCACAGAGAAGATGCTTCTAGTGTTTGGAAAGCAGGTCTCTGTTAAGCATTTTTTATATATTTTAGCAGATGCAGAGAATTCTGGTAGTAGTAGTCATGCTCTCACTTCCCTTTATAATTTTCTCAGAAAAAAAAAATAGCTGGCTTTGGTTTGCTTTCAGAGGGAACAGAAGAAGAGAATGCAGAAAATTGAGAGAAACCTGACTGATTTGGAAAATGGCTGCCTAGGATCAGAAGCGTGGGGTTTGTGGCAAAGTGCTCCTGCACCCCCAAAGCCTTCACTGAAAGGGCCTGAAGAGTGCCCATGCTAAGCTGTGGCTTCCAAAAGGCCATGGGAGCAAGAAATAACTGACTTCACCACTATTTGATAAGCACAAGACATAGACTCAGAACTTCTTTTGCAGCTTTAAGAGCAGTCATGCCAGGACCAAAGCATTCAAAAGTCAGTAGCTTTAGCTAAAGAGGCAGGGCATGTTCCCTGTTTACCAAAGCTGGGAGTAGAAAAAGGCCAAAGGAAAGAGCCTGGTGGAATTATGAAAGAAACAGAAAGAACAACTGAGCAGAAGCATTAGGACCAGAAGAACGTGATTGGAGTTTTTAAAAGAAAGGCAAAGCCTGGTTCTACAAAGAAGGCTGACCAGTTGGAATGTGGGGTTTCTATATGCACCACATGCTGCCATGAAAAATATCCATTTAAGTATCTGTCAGCCAACCCTGCGTGACTGTCTGTGGGACAGAAGTCAACCCAAATGCAGAAAAGTCTGAGCTTCCTGCATTCTCCATATAGAAATTCAGTGAATCAGGATTTGAGTGCCACATCCAACAGAAGCACTAAGCTTCTGTAAGAAATTACCCTGAGCTTTCTTTTTCTGGACTGACCTGCATCACCACTGAGGCATCTCTGCTTCCAGCTGCTCCTACAAAGATGCCTGTCATTTGCCTGGGAGAAAAGAAAGGCTCTGCTCTACTTTTCCATTCCCTAAGCTCACAGTGCCAAAAACGCCATTGTGCTCAAGTCTTTGCCCAGTGTTAGAGAAAGGGGGAATTGGCAGTTTTAGCTAGGATGGAACAATAGGAAGAAGAACCTGTCAAAGCAGAGCCAACTCCCAGTGCTCTGTGAGAAAGATGCTCATTTCCTAGCATCATAAAAGATGCTGTTTGACTGCTGTGATTCACCTTCCCCTGGCACAGTCCTACATGCAGCCATTTTCATTACAAAAATCCCCAGCCCTCCCAAAAGAAATGCTTTGAAGTCTCTATCAGCTACTTTAGAGGACAAAAGCAGGAACATAACAATTTAACACAATGCTCACTCGAACATTTAGACTTGAAACAACTTTGAGAAATGCTTTATCCTTTGCACAAGCTGCCTGGTGCAGCCTTCATCCCCTTCCAAGCCAGACAGGGATCCTCAGCTCAAGCAGGCTGGGATCTCCAGTCTGTGCACTGTGAGACACTGCTCCTTACCTTGGAAGAACAAGCCACTGGGCAGCTTTGTTGCTTCAGCAGACACTGCCAACCACAGGACGGTGTCGGCTCCCTGGGCCTCGGTGCGCAGCGAGTTCTTCATCCTCTCATAGAAATCAGGCATGGACGACCTCACAGCTGGAAAGGATAACAATGCAATGGTGGCCTGCCATGCAAAGCTTTTTTGACACACACACACAAAAAAAAGCACCAAAAAAAAAAAAAAAAAACCCAAAAAAAAAAAAAAAAAAAAAAAAAAAAAAAAAAAAAAAACAAAAAAAAAACCACACCACAAACCAAAAAACCAAAACCACAAACCAGCTTCAAACTGCCATTCTGTGTGTAGGAAGGAGAAAAGGCATCTCTGGAGCTTATGGAAGAAAATGAGTATTTCCCCCTATCTGGCAGTAGGATGGCTTGCGGGAGAATAGCACTAAGCCACCAGATGATCCACCACTTGTTTGTTTGGGTCAAATTACAGGAAAAAACTGACAACAGGCTCTGTAAGAGGTTCCTCTGCCAATTCCATTCTAAACCATAAAGATGACAAACACAGGGAAAACAAATTCCAAAAAGCAGTATTGTAATGGGATTTTTAGCTCTTCTTTTCTCACCAGTTTTAGAAAACCAGTTGCAGCCCTGTATTTAAAAATTGCTTACTTCCTGTCTAAACTCTGGTTTCATTTTATTTTGTCCAACAGATGGTGACTGAGGGCCCATTCAATGCAGGTGTTTATTTTTGGGGGTTGGAGAGTCTTTGAACTTTAAGGTGGGATAACTTTATGGTTCATTAAGTTTGAAATCTGTAAAGGAAGTGCAAAAATAAATGTATTTTAAAGAAAAAGAAATACCAGGATATTTAGTTGGAAAGGGCTATTTTCAAGCATAAAGTAGAAAGGGAAATGCTTCTTCAGAAGCAAATTTTGGAAACTGCATCCCTATAAAAGACCTAGAGATGTAACTGCTTTTCTGCATCCCAAGCTTGGGCACTGGGGGCTGGAAACATTGGGGAATGCAACATGCATAGCGCATGCTGGCCCACCTGCTCAGGCACAGTCACTGAAGAACAGCTGCAGCTCAGACAAAGGCTGAATGGCCAAACTGCTTCTCAACAGCAGTAAATGTTTAGAGGAAGAGCAGAGGGCTTGCACAGTGGTGCATTCTCCTACATGCCCTCACAAATTCCCAGCGTCTGCACACTGGTACCTACAGAGGCAGAAGCTCCATCTGTGTGTTTAACAGTTCCACTACAAATGTAACTTAAAGGTTACCTTAAAGAACTGTGTCTCTGCTGTGCATCTGTGCAGGGCTGGAAGCATTTCACTGCCCATTATTATTCTCTAGATATAGGCACTGTGCAGAATAGAGCCACCAAGGGGATATAAAACTACTTCAGGCACCAGTTTGAAGAAAATAAATTATTGCACCTGTTGGAAAAATATACTAGGAAGTTTCATTTCTCTTTGCTTTTAAACAAAAAAATCCTGTAAAGAAAGAAATATTGTCAGAGTGTGAAGGAGATGTTACCTGGAGTGTCTGCCCAGCCGGGGTGCATCACGGAGAAATGGATATTTCTGTGAGCCTTTGCCCATTGCTCTGTCAGGACAACTTGCTGTCTCTAGGACAGAGCAGTAAGAGCCATGCTAGCACCGACTTCAACAGCCCGTCCACCAAATTAGTTCCCAGGGAAATAAACTACATCAAATGTGCCATAAATACCAGAGCATTTATGTACAGCAGAAATATACCCTTGCTCATCCTGGCTGGATTTATTGGGTAATTTCATCAGAGACTTCCACAGTCATTGCCATCCATACCCTGGCTACAAATTTACTTTTAAAGCAGCTGCACTGCTTTTACTGACCATTATCTACTTGCTGCAGACTGTGGGCAAGAACTAAGCAGGCAGACAGGGTTCATCAGCTAAAGACAGTGCTCCCCCTTGGGACTTCTCTCATATTAAATCAAAGTCTAGCTGTGCTCTCCTCCATGCAAGATGTATGCACTCCTAAGGGCATGCCATTGCACTCCTGAAGATTACTGCCTGTGCATCTGCATATGGGTTGGATGCAATGGGAAAGCACCAGTGACCAACAGGCTTTTTGCAAAGCAGATGGTATGAGCTGCCTAGCAAAGAAGGGCTGGGCTTTGTTTTCACTCCCATGGGCTGTACCTTGTTCTGTGCATACACCATGGTTCCATCAAATGGCCCACTTTCCGACTGCAAGTCGGATACGTTTAATTTTTGAACAAGCATGCCCCCAGAAGAGACAGTGATCTGTAATGAAATGAATGAAAAACAAATGAATGAAAAGCAAAGCCAGGAACTCCCCACAGATGCACTCATGCATGCAATGTAGTCTTCAGGCCACAGCTAGAAGTCCCTACGGAGCAGGATTCCTCTGCATACTTTCTGCATTATGCTTATGCTCATGTGTAGAGCATACCTGGAGATGAGATGGAAGATACATAAGGTTTTTAAGATGGGATTTTCATTCAAACTTATGTTGATTCATTTCAGAAATTTTGTGCTTCTCCTTTTGGAAAGTAAAGGGGAGAAAGAAAATAGCACTATTTGTAGTTTGTATGCTTAGCATTTACCAAAGCTAGTTAGAAGCCATATAAAACTTGGGAAATTTCATTTTCAAAAAATGTACCTGCTGTCTTATTTTACACCAAGATCTGTAAAGTTCTTTTAAGCTTATACTCCTGTTGTGCATATTTTGCACTTTGCTGAAGGAGCTAACTTGCCCAAGGGAATCTAAGAGGGCAAGTTCCCAAATGAAGTATTTTACTCTGATTTCCAATGAAGGGTTGAGAGCAGCAGGCAGGAGCTTTGCCTTAGAGCAGGAGGTTGTTGTTAGCAAAATCCAAGAGGATTTTAGAGATCCTTACAGCATTTTAAGTAATCCTGCATTGCTAACACAGTCAGAGAACTGCTGTTACAAGCCAGAAGGTAAAAATAGTAAAACAACCCTTTTAAACAGCATCACAGACTCACCACTCTGGCATCAGCTGCTTTTTCCAGGAGGGGCAACAGGGCAGTTGTCATGATGTATGTACCTAAAAGACACACAAGCACCAACATTAACTTCTCCTTTTAAAAAAAGCTTTCTTCTCTCTCCACCCTCCTTAACAATCCAAAACCCAAAATCTCTTTATCTCTGAAATCTGATCTGAAAATGACAATTTTTTGTTGCTGTTTCACCTGTAGTGTGCCAGCTCAATTTGTAGTGGTTCACACTGCCATAGATTATTTTACAGATTTTCATGTTTGTTTTATCTATAGAGAAAACAGCTCCCTACATTCATCTGTGAGAATCTGAAGGCAAAATAGCTCCGGTATGGAATTCCTTGGGTGTGGGAAGGTGATGCCAGTGAAGAAATCGGGAATGCATTTTCCCTGCAAGTCTGGCATAGAAAAGGAAACTGTACTTCATACTTACAGTTCTTAGGGCACTGCATATGCACTTGAGATATGTCAATTCTTCCCTTCTCAGTATGAAATCACTCAGAGTATTCTGATACTTTTTGTGTTGCACACAAAACCCACCCCTTAAATCCCCAGCGTGACCATTATGGAAGATAAGGAATCTTTGGGGGAAAAAAATATTAATGTTGTCTGCCCAAGGCTGAGCTAAGATTACTTGGGGAAAGTTAATTGAGTCCTTCCCTGCTTTTCATCATGTTCATTTAGCAAGGATTTTTACACACCACACAAATATATTCCATTACCATGACCAGCAAAGTTTGTTATTACAAACACTGTCCAACTATCAGTGTATTTGACACAGACACACCTAGTGATGTCTCAGGCAACCAAGTGCAATACAGAGATTTTTTTTTCTGTTTAAAATGTATTTTTTTAAATTCCATTCAATTCAAAATGAATGTAGCTCCATTTAGTCTAGAGCTTCTACATCTACTTCCCCCTCATGTCTTTACAAATGGCTCTAGTTCAACAATTCTATCAGTGATAAATGCATTTTTTTCCTTGAGCTACCAAGGCCATGTTTTTCACTAGGCATGAAGACTTCAGCATGTCTGTATAACCTCTCTTCCACACAGGCAATGAGATCACCCAGTTAAAATACAGCACATTTATAAATACGGTACCAAAATCAAACATGTTACATGCCTGGGGAACAAACTGTTCAGTTCCCCTGTCAGTCACAGCAGCCTTCACTTTCTCTATATAATCAGAGATACGTCCATACACACACAATATATTTAAAACCCTGGCAAATCAAACTAAGCAGATGCACCGCAGATGAGTAAATGCAGCCTGTCCTCAGCAGAAAATGTGAGCAAAGGCAGTTGCCAGCGAATGACGAGAGCCCAGTTGTGTCCCCTGGTAGCAGCAGGGAGACTGAGCGATGACATCATCGGTACAAGAACTCCCCTGACTGTCAGGGGAGGCTGCCGCGATGTCGGGGAAAAATATTTAAAAAAAAAAAATATCACTTCAGTACAAGCTGAGAGCCTGGTTTTAATGCTGTTTGGCTGTGGATTCTTAAAAAAAGTAACATCATGTCTTGGTTAAATAAGCTGCGTCTCCTAAAGGCAGAGCTGCAATGCACCAGCTCTGACGATGCTCCATTTTACTGTCCTGCAGATTAATTTACACTTTTAAGGGGCTTCATGTTGATTTGTTAATTCTAAAGAGCTGCAAAGATGAATGCACTAATGTTGCCTCATTAACAACCGAATTTTGTTTTGTTTTCCAGCCAAATAAGAGAAACACTCAATGCCAAAATTCCTGCTTAGAGCAACTACAGCTTGTCAGAAGTTTATGTGCTTATTTAGAACCACAAACTAACTGCAAAGCCCACATCTCCTCTCTTCCTCAAGTTTATTAAGAATTCAGTAAATCCCACAAAGCCAGAGCATTCCATCTTTTTGCCCCACAAGACCACTTGCTCATTTGCTTTGAGACAACACAGAGCAGTTTGATCACAGCTTCCTATGGCAAGCAACTGTATCTGAAAACACACACAGACACAATGCATCAGGCATTAAGGCTGCAGCATTTCATTTCTCCTACTGCTAAATATTTCACCAACTACTGTCCCCATTTTAAGTGTTTGAACACAAACTCCTCATTCCTTTGACAAAAATACTTGGGTATTACACATTCTTATTTGCCTGGGCTGGTCTGTCAGGCAAAACAGCCTGGAAAAGAAATTTAGAACAGTAGTAGCAAAACAGATATACTTTATCAGCAAGGTTTAGAACACATCATCATCAACTGGAACTTTTTTTAGAGCAAAAGCTGGCCTGTAGTTTGATGGTGCCATCCAAAGAGCTTGGGAGAAAGCTCAGTATGGTCACTGCAGGGCCTGGCAGAGCTGTGTACCTCACGGCAGGTACTTTGTCCAGCACAGCTACATTGCCAGCCACCATCCTTATAGGGGGGGGAAAAAAAAAAAAAAAAAAAAAAAGGTATGGTCACTGCAGGGCCTGGCAGAGCTGTGTACCTCACGGCAGGTACTTTGTCCAGCACAGCTACATCAAATGAAGGCATTGCCAGCCACCATCCTTATGGGGGAAAAAAAAAAAAAAAAAAGGAAACTTTTCTTGTTAAAAAAAAACTTTGCAAGGAAAACTAAGACTAATTCGGTAGAAGAAACTACATTCATGTCTGCCTCTATGTAAGGAAATCAAGGCAACATCCAAACTGTATGTCCTTTTGCTAATACTTGATTATTAATACCAATGTACTGGATATCAGCCTTGCCAAAATGAGCACTTGAGTATTCTAACACTTGATGCAAAAATATTTTTGTCTGTCAAAGGAGAAACTTCCCCCCACAGAGCCTAGTTTAAAAAGATAAGGCATATCAAATGTGGTTAATGCTTAATTATCACTGTGTTTGAACTGTACAGATTGAGCTGTTTTGTTGGGTTTTTTTAATGGTTTAACACAAAAATACATGAAAGGAAAGGCAACATCCAACAGTGCTGTGCCTTGCACTGAAAGCAGTAATTATTGGGCATCTGCTGAACATACAGCTGGTACTACCTGCATTTAGGACTGTGTGACAGGGGCCAGATTTGTGCATCACCATTTCCTGTCACTGGAAGATACTTTATCCACATGTCCTGAACGCTTGCCTTCCACTGGTGCAATGGGGGGGGGAAAATCAGTGAAATAAATGGTATACAACATTTCCCTTTGATGAGAAGTATTCGCTGTGACACAAAAGAGTCCAGCATGATGAACTGGGGAGTTTGCTCAGAAACAGTAGGAATGCAGAAGAAGGTGAGCCCAGTCTATCACACCCACATAAAGGATTTCATCTTGCCCTTACTGAACTCTGTAAGGTGAAGAGTTGACTTGTAAAACATACTGGACAAGCTAGAGCCCTGTTCTGTGTAATGAGGTTTGACACAGTACTGGCTGGCCGTGTTTTCTCTAGTCAAAAAGGCTCCTGGGATAGATGTACAATTTATTTCAAAGATAAACAGCCTCTTAACATTAGCTTTCTTTGGAAAAACTTCTGTAGGCTTTATGCCTTGGAGCTGATCTCCCATAACTGATCACATATAATACAGAGTAATTAAAGCTTTTCTGTAGAGCAACACCATTACACACCATAAACCAACTTTATCATACGTTAAAGTAGACAGGGTGAGTTGCCAGTCTATGCATTAAACATGCTCATTCCAGTAAAAGTAACGAGGTGGCATTTAATGAGAACATACTTTGTTCATGCACATTAATATTTAAGTTTCGTGTTTACTCTGAAAATATAAAAACAAAACCCACCAAAAATATTGAATGAAAATATTGAACACCATGCATTCCCTTGTGGTCTGTCCGGTAATTGCTCCACCTGGCCTGAGATCCTCTCAATTCAGTCAAGTAATCTGATATTGTGCTCTAACAAATCAAATTTTTGACCCCATACAGTGAACTCCTCTGCCAACCTGGATAAGCACAAATTCAGTGGTTTCACAATCACAGAGTGAAATATTCATGACATATGTGTAGAAAATGAGGCACCGTAATGGAGATAAACATTTGATTCATACAGTAAGTTGATTTTTTTTTTTTTAAACCCAAAAACTACAAAAATCAGCCCAACTGCCTCAAACTCCAAAATAAAGTTCTGCTACCTTTCCTATGACATGATGCAGAAGCTGAGGGGACTCTATGGAAGACACTATTATTAGGTCTTGTGGAAAGGCAGCTCTCTATGTTCTTGCAACAGTTATTCCACTGTGGGTCTCATGAACAAAATGAAATCTATCCTACTGCACAGGACAGCAGCCTCCAGTGTATTAGACACTGGTCTTTCTCACAGAAAACTGCAAGTCTTGCTATACTAAAACATGAAAGTAATCAAAACACAGGATAGCCCTAACAGAAAATATAAACAAACACTGTGCATGCAGATTTCCAAACTGCTGGTGGTTTAGATCAGTCTGCCAGAACCTGGAAGACTCCTTAGGATTCACATAGTTCAGACTGAAAATTAACAGGATATCACATAAAATAAAAGTACACAAACATATAATCTGAATTGCTTTAAGATTTAATGTGACCCTAAAATCTGTACTTTATAAATCAACTTTGAAGAAAATTATGGTTTCAGCAGAAGTAATATTGTAAACCCACTACCTGCTTATAACATCAAATTAATTGATGATACAATTGCTGTGGACCCAAGTGTCTTGGTGGATTCTAGAATGTTTTTTGCTTGATGTTCTATCTGGCAATTAGTGACACACTGCTGGTGAGGTTTTTGCCCTGCTAACATTCGGATAAGGGCAGGCAGCCAGCACCACACTAAGTGAAGTGTTTAATCTGCCTGAGCGCTGCAGTATTATTAGGAACATTGTTATTTTAACTGTGAAAAAAGTGGGAACAAAAAAAACCTAAACAAACAAACAAAAAAACCCAACACCACCAAAAAAACTTTTGCTGTACAGATTTCAATGTCTCATTCATCTGGAAAAAATCAGTTAAACTGGCTTGCTTGAGTGCAAGTAAAAACAAACCACAGAAACAAACAAACAAAACCACCCAACAAACACAGTTCCATTCTTCATTGGCCTGATTACCTTTTCCCGCGGTTTATGCAGTTCCCAGTAAGAGACATCCCTGAGTCTCTTCTCCTGAGTAAGAGATCAGGAATGAAGATTGTGCTGTCTCTGAGGGCCAATTCCACCGCACTAGCAATAACTGAGAGTGTATGGGAAGAGTTAATGAACATGAAACACAAAATAAAGGTTTACATTTCCCTCAAATGACAAAGCTCATCTCAATAAGAGCTCTTCTGTCTCCTGGGAATCAGGCTGCAGTACAGTTTCTGCATGTGCAATTATATTCAACCTTATCCTTTCACATACCACCTCTGATCCATAAGTCTCAAAGCTCTTCAGGAAGAAAACTGGAACCACAGTCTCCTTTTCAGAGATGAGGTTGTCTTGCCAAAGATCAGGCACTGGACTTACACCAGACTGACAGCTGACTATTGTCAAGTTGTTTGACTTCCAAGTGATTCAGAAGACCAGGCTGCACTGGATTCTGTTAACGCCAGTTAGATACAGTTCATGTGTAGGGAAGAGACTGACAAACATGCAACCAGGTCAGGCAGTTTGCCATAGAGAGGCTATAGTGTCACTATGACAGATAAACATCTCACTTCCTCTGGCTCTAACCCTTCTTGTACAGAGTGGAAGTATATGTCTATATATTATTAAAACATGAGAGCACATTAGATTGAGGAAAAGATGCATACTGGGAGCATCATTTATCTTTCAGTGTGTTTTAGCATCCCCTTGCCTGGTAAGTAGCAATAAAAAAGTAACATATATGTCATTTTTCCAAGTCAAGTAGGAAGATACGTTGAGTAAAAGCAAAGTGAGGCAGGTGATAAAATAGAGGAAAAAGGATTGTTTCAGCTAAATGCCTGCTTCAATAAGAACATGCTGCTTTTACCTCCACTTGCTTATAAATGCTGAAGGTTTTGGGTTTTTTTTCAAAATGACTGAATACCAACAGCTTTAATAGTCTTTGCTGGGAGTTATAATAAAAAAGTAAAATAAAATAAAATTAAAAAACAGTTTTGACTCAGAAGTCTACAAGACTCATCAGAAGAAATGACTGCTCGTTGCTGCCCAGCTCCTGGGTACAACCCTGAGTACATGGTCAGCCCACAAGAAGAAATATAAGAGCTACATCACACAAACTAGAAGACAGAGAAAAAAATCTGCCCACCAGGACTGGCAGGTCTGCAGGAAATCTGCCCACATTACCCTAAGCAAGCCACTCAATTTGGTTTATTTGAAAGTGTCTTTCAATCAGCACAGTGCTATTCCAGACTTGTGCCTGGCCAGTGTTCCCACATTACAGTCTAAGTGTTCCATTCTGCTCTCTACATTCACTGAGCTCCAGCAATCAGACAACAGCTCTTGAGCCTCTAGCAGGGAAAACAGGCAAGGTGTTTCATTTGACAGCAACAACAGAACCACAACGAGCCATGCAGCATTTGTGCCTCAGACTCACTGTAAGGGTCCTACAGGCACCAGCACAGATGCAGCTGCTACCACCTGCTCAAAGCACTTCACAGTTTGAACTTGAATATTAAACAAACCATACCAAGCCTTAACTATCAACCTGCATTTTACATTTTCATGAACTTCATCCACCTGCATACTCTGACAGCACCAGAGAGGACTATCGTACCTCTTCTTTCAGTTGCCATCCTCAATGAGCCAGACAGCTGTGTTTTACATTAAGGGAATTTTACTTTCTATTCTAACCACTGTTATTTTTGTACAAGAGGACTTATGCAGTCATTTTTGTCCCATGTAGTCCAAGAAAAGATCAGGATATAAAGTATATTTCACAAATCAGGTCATCAATTAGAAATGAACACTGACATCCATTATGCTCAAAAATGAACTAACAGATAAGTCAAGAGGAAAACATTCCTAGACTAGATTTAAAAACTCCGCAGCATTTCAGACACCTAAATGAGCAACTTTACAGCTTATAGAAATGTTAATCAGATATCAGATACAGCATTCAAAAACTGTGACGTGTGCATTTAAAGCATGTTATATTTCAGTCTTGCATTTTTAGATAGTTACAACCTACACACTCCTTTACTAGACCAGAGATACAAGATAGAAAAAAAAAAAAAAAAAGTGAAAGAAACATGGAAGGAATACTCTACATGTAAAGATCTGCAAAAGATATTGATATTATTCTATCTTAGTCAAGTAAGGGACAACTGCACATTTTCCAAACAAGGGCCTTGAGCCCATGTCACCCTTCAGGCTTTAGCATTACTAGGGCAGAGAGGAGAATTTAGTTTGTTCTTTCAGACCACATTCAAATTTACAGCCAACCTATATACCAGCCTTATCTAATTTAGCCATGATTTTCTCTGAGAACCTATAACCACACATAGTTACTGAAACAGAAATAACTTCTCCCAAGAAAAACACACCCAAAGGCACATAGTACTTAGGGAAATAACAGAGCATCTACTCTGACAGGTCTTTCTCCACACAGCTTTCTCCTACTGTGGCTCCAGAAGTTATGATTCATTACCCTATCCCCCTGACTTTGAAGAAAAAAACTGTGGTTTGTAGCCTTAGTCCTTCATGTGTGTCTGGCCTGCAAGCACAGAAGCTTCTTGTTGCCCTGTCAGCTTCTTCCTGCTCAACCAGGTCCCACTCTGTTCTACAAGATTCAAAATTTAATCCTTTTTTTTTCTAGAGGAAGCAGACTAAGCAAACAACCCAGTCCTTGTCTGAACTCTGAAAAAGTTGGACAACAGAGGATGATTTACCTCCTTAAGCTTCTTATACAATCATGCAGCAAGTGATACACGAATGAATAACTAAGATCTATAAGTAACATCCACAAAAGACAATACAGGCATTTTCCTAGTTTGCTACAACTATAATTCAGCTTCCTCTGTGCAGCTGTATACCACTAGTAAGGCTGATTTACAGCTGGAAAAGCAGAATTTGCTGCTTCTACTTGTGTGATAAAATATAATTCAAGTGATGCACTACTACAGTTCCTCAGCACTTAATAGCCTTAATGTCTGAAACTAACCCAAAACATGCTTTTGTATTCAGACTGTTGTGTTCGTTTCACTCTGCTTCTCTCTAGAAGAACTGTACCTTTGCACATTGCTGGGTTTTTGTCTGAAAGTCTGCAAGAGGACAAAAACTAATTTAAGGTGAATAGATCCCTCAGGATAGAAGTTCTGGTACTTATGCAGCCAAGGGAAATTTGATGGCAATATAAAACTCTTTTTGAATTTTTTGACCATGAGAAACAGAAGAATGTTAGTAGAAGAATAGTCTGAACCAAATTAATCTCTGCCTTTATACTTAATTGCCAGTTTAATGTATTCAGACTTGCAGAAAAAATGAGCTGTATGCACCATAACAGTGAAGCACAAGACATTTATACTAAAATGCTAGCTTTCAAACATAAATAGGATTTAAGGAACCAACACAGGAAAAAGGTTAAGAATAAAAACCAACAATGGTTTACAGGTTATACTAGTTCTATAAATGCCTTATCTTTATAGACCAGGTTTTCCTCATCCTCATTCCAGATAATGATGAACAGGAGGAAAACACAGAAACAAAGCACCACAGTTCTTTCTTAATGTATCACTTTTGAATATATAAAAGACAGTCTCTTGAGAAATCCACCTACCCTGCATGGAGGCAGAGGGAGAAGAGTGTCAGGACTGCTGGGCTGATGCAAGCACCATGTGTCTCTGTGCAAGAGGTGCAGCTTTCAGCCTTACAGATATCAGCAGTGTCAGACAGCCTTCTCTCTGCTGGCTGGCTGTTTGCTCACCTCTTGTCCACAGCTCCTATAGGCAAACTTTCCACTTGGCTTGCCATTTTCCCTGCCCTTCCACATCTCCACTTTCCCTCTTGACTTGTTTCCCATCATTTGTCCCTCTTACACCACTGCCACACAGTTCACACACACTGCCCCTTGCACATGGAGCACCCAAGGCTTGCCCATTACTGCTCAATCCCTTGACTAGAGATTGCACCTGCTTGAGAGCATCCAGAGCACTGCATATGGCACAGGCTTCCCACACAGCACCTCTGTCGCACAGAACAGGGCTCTGCAAGCCCACTCAAACATCTGAATGTCTCTTGAAACATCTGAACGTGTTCCAAGCTCCATCCAAACTCCAGAAACACAATTATTACAAAGAGCATCATTAGCAGCAATGCTCAGAATGAAGTTTCCTAGCAAATTTCAGAATCAACCTACCATTTCCCTTCTACCATTCACTTCTGCTATGATAAATAAAGATGCTGTTATCAGAACAACTGAAAATGGAGAAATTAAAAAATGACACTCCAAGCAAGCTATAACATTTATTTTCCTTCCTGGTTCCATCCCTGGCACAGCAATGCTATGACCCTTCTTTGAGCAGGAGTACATACATTAACCCAGCTATAAAAACACATTTCTGTAAGCAAAATAAGTGTGTTCCAGAAGAAGACCTTCAATACTCACCCAAAGTGTTTGTTGCAAAGTTTTTTTCAAGTCCATCTTCAGTTAACTCTCTGTTATTCACCATACATCCCGCATTGTTGATCTGTAAAACAACTCCTTTAAACAAAAACAATCAACACAAATATCTACAAAGAAATCCACACATACAAGCAGCTCACGTTAATTTGCTGTTTTCTGGCACTACAAAACAAAGATACACTGTGTAGCTTTTATTTGTTCAATAAATCATGATTGCAAACTGCATGTAGCTAGCACAGTCTCTGACACATTTGTTTCTCTGCCTTATCTTTCAGAAGGAGATCAGACTTTTCTTTTCCTCAAAAAAAGATCTGCCCCTACACACCTTCCTGCGTGTTCACTGGCACTCCTCAAAAGTTATTTCCTCTTTTTTATCAGATGTTCCTCATCTAGTAAGCACCAATGGAGCTGCTCCAGGTGCCTCAGCTGTGGTACAGCCCCCAAGCAAATTTTCACTGCTAAATAAAGGGGGAACTGCACTGAGCCCTTTGCCAACCATTATGATTAATTGTTTGGTCCCTCCCTGGATCTGTTTTAGTCTTTGGAGTCTTTGCAGAAGTTTAATCTTTCAGAAGGTCTAGCTTTAAGAGGGACAATGTTATTAGCAATGAAAGTCAAAGAGAAAATGTATGGTGTCTCCAAAGACGCAGCTATAAAATTACTGCTTTTCTCTTTTTCTGCATTAACTGAGAAGGGACAAGAGCAAGCAAACCATGGAGACTCCTGAAAAAAGCATTTAGAAAAAAATAAGGACAGAATTGTGGGCCAAACTGTCAAGTCTACATGACCTGTCAGACAAATTCACAGCCTACACACTCCCAAGACAGACACACAGGATTAAAGTACATGAACTTACCAACACATTTAGCTTATGTTCATTTTGGAATTTTTCAGCAAACTTCCATATTTCTTTGGGATTAGATATATCCACAATATGCAAGAAGATGTTCTAAAGGAAAAGAAACTAAGTCACAATCAACAGGGAAAGTGAAGATAAATCCTGTTTAGGCCTGTCTAAGTGAAAAGGTATTTAAGTAGTATGAAAAAAATAGTGTCTCTAGAAGCCAACTAATACAGGCTAACATGCACAACTGCAAAATTTAACTCTAGTCCTTAAAACACGTTTAGTCATTAAAGCTTCTGAGACACAGACTTTTAATGCCAAAGTTATTAAGAGAGAGTCCTACTTAGATAAATATATGTGACAGTCAGGCATAACAGAGTACTAGAAAAATATTGTAAAGCATGCAAAATTTCAGTTTAAACAATTTAGCAGCTTTCTCTTTGGCTGAACTTTCCAAGGAAATGCTCAAGATCACATCATTAGAGAATAATCTAGGTTGGAAGAGACCCTGGAGGCTGCTTGGTAAACATGGAGATTCACCAGTCTGTATGAGCCCCCTGCTCTGAGCCTCCAGCATTTGACCACCCTCATGGTGAAAACATTTTTCCTACTGTCTACTCAGAATTTTGTCCCTGTTCCAATCTGTGTCAGCTGCATCTTGTCTTCCCACTGAAGACCTCCAAGAGAAGCATGGTAGCGCCTTCCCTACACACTCCCATCACATGGCTGTAGAACGCAGCAAGACCCATCTAAGCCTTCTCAACACTGAGCAAAATCAGCCTTCTCAGAGTCACTTCATACATCACATGTCTCATCTCCCTAGTCACTCTCTGCTGGACTCGCTCCAGGACATTGATGACTTCCTCATCCTGGGGAGCCCAAAGCCAGCCATAGGACTCCTGCTGTGGTTTCACAAAAGGCTTAATCAAAAGGAAGATGCACTTCCCTCAGCCCTCTGGCTAGACTCATGTTCATACAGCCTGGGGTACAGTTTGCCTCCCTTGCCCCAGGACACTGCACACAGAGGGATAACTTGTCACTCCCAGGTGTCTTTCTGCCATCTATTTTCCAGCCAGCTAGGCAAAGACTGCACTTCATTCTGTCACCTGCACTCTTAAAAAGATGTCATCAGGTTTTGCCCTTGTATTGATTCATGGGGATGTGACTAAAAATCATTAACAGCTCAGCTTTGTACTACTGATTGTTACTTTCGAAGCCACATGATCTGGACAGTTTCCCACCCACTTTTCATCCACCATTTCAAACCACATCCCTCCAAACTGGATACAAGGATATCACGGCAAATCATGTAAAAAGCCTTGTCAAAGTTAAGGAGAGCTGCTCCACTCTTGTCCACAGCCAGAGTCATCTCACCAAAGGGATTAGGGAGAGAATCAAAAGGGTAACAGATAGAGAACTCGTGGGCTGAGATAAAGACAGATTAATAGGGAAAGCAAAAGCTACACACAAAAGCAAAAAACCCCAAGCCCATGTGCATACAATCCTCAGACCACCCAATCTTGTCTGATCTCAGAAACTAACCAGGGTTGGGCCTGGTTAGCACTTGGATGGGAAACTGCCTGGGAATACAGGCCCTTTAGACATTTTACAAGGAATTGACTGACTGCCTTCCAATTGACTGCAGGCAGGTGTTCAGCCATCTCCAGGAGAGCAGGGCCCCATCACACATAACAGTTACTTGGGAAGCCACTACCCCAAATATCTCCCCATTCCTTTTTCCTTTCCCCAGCTTCATATACTGAGCATGATATCATACAGTCTGAAATATCCCTTTGGTCAGTTAGTCAATCTGTCCTGGCTGTGTCTCTTCACAACCTCCCATGCAACCCCAACTTCTTCTCCAGTGTGGCAGCACAAAAAGTAGAAAAGGCCTTGGCTCTATGTAAGCCCTGTTCAGCAATTGCAAAAGCATCTCTGTATTATCACCCCTGTGTTCATCACAAATCTTAAACACAGACCCATACAAGCCACTGTGAAGAAAATTAACCCTACTCCAGCCAAAACCAGTACAATGAGCAAGGGTATACATCCTCTCCAGCACTCTAGTCATGCCAACTATTTCTGCCTAATCCCAGTGAGATCACAGCTCTGCAGTCACGCATGGATTCCTGTGTTTCCTATGCTATGTGTACGCATGAACAGGCATCTGAAATGGGCTCCCAGACATGCTACCTTCTCATGAAAACGGTGAGACCTTCCTCCATTTCGCTGTCCCCTAGACACATACTCACTACTCTCATGACTCTTCTACTCTTTTGGGTTTGGTCACTACAAACCAATGAAACCCCTTTAAAACCTCCTCACTAGGCTTAGCAAACCTGTTGGCAAGGGCGCTCTTGCTCTAATACATCATTGCTCTTCAGCAAAGCTCATTTAACAGAGAAGGTCCAAGAGGCCATAAAGGCTAAGGCCAAAGTGACACCAGCTGAACATTCAGGTGTTGATCTGCAGGGCATATATGCTCCTACCCAAACCCTTTCATTTTTCACTGTGTGGGTTTAGGAGACCACTGCTAGGGCTTCCATGCCCTTGACTCTCTAAACAGCCTTGATGAACTCCAGGTTACCCCTCACAATGTCATGGGTGCCCATGTGATTGGGCAACAAGAGGTACGGAGGCCAAGGTCCAGACCAGCCTCATCAGACTCTCTGCAATGCCTCACATCTGAGTTCCCAGCAAGCGACAAATCTCTCAAGTCATAAAGCCAAGACTGCAGACGGGTGCCTCCATCCCCCACAGGAAGGAGCCTTCAGCGATCATCACCCACAATTTCCTCCCACTGTCAACAACTGTTCAGGATCATCTGTCTCCAACACCTCCCCTGACAGAGCTTGCTCTTCCTCATGTGTTTCCATGGCACTATACCTATCCTATAAATGCACATCTGCAGGCAGAGAAGCAGCTGCCTTCTATTGCCATCATTCACAAGCTTCAATTCCTCCTCATCTTAGAAGTCTCTATCCACTACTTATTCAAATGCAGCTTCTAGCTGTCCCTCCTTCCATGCAACGTGCTCTTCTACTCTGTGTAGAGGCCCTGCCAATCTCCTGTTTCTATTCCCTGTGATTCTGCAGCCTGCTCATCTCCTGCCGTCACATCACCTGGCAGCTCAGCACTCTGAGGACAGCAGAATCCAAGAGATGAAGCCACAATCATGTGCTGCCCCAGGCTCAGGGAAAGTCCCAGTCACTCCCTGCAATCCAATATCTGCCACATTATCCCTCTGGAGCTCTGGCTGGGCTAGTGTCCCACATGCCAGGCACAGTTGCTCCAGCCAGGGTGGTAAAGCATGCTTTCAGGAGCAGCACTGCACCCACTCCAGCTGTCTGAGTGCTGGGTGCCTTCTGCATCCCCTTGCATGCTAACTGCTGCATTAACTGATTACTATAGCCAGCAATGTGGATGCAATAAGAAAAAAAAAAAGGCTTGACAATGTTATCATTCTCTAAACCACTAAAGCTAGAAACAATTCCTCCCTCCAAAACATCAAAAACCTTTTGCTGTTTGCTACAGACAATTCTTTTGCTTTTTGCAGATTTGTGTTCTACATAGTACAAGCACAGTGGCATTTACCAGCATACAAAGGCACATCGACTCCTACTCTTCTCCTAGACAGCACTTAGTCTCAAAGACACACCACAGATAGTCTTATGAGGTATGCCAGGAAAAGGCAGTTTTAAAATAATTATGCAGAGGATGTGCTCTCTTGCAAAACAACAAATAATCATTAAAGGGCCTCCTCTCTTTCCAAGTTGTTTCTTTAAATGCTCGTTATACAAGCAAATGAGAAAAGTGAAGAAGCTGAAGAAATGATATGGCATTATTCCTTGCCTGTAATTCTGCTTCCCTGAAGATAAAAAGCACATGACTTTCTCTCTAGTAATTTGATTTTAGCTCCTTAGTTGAGTTTGAGTCAGAATTTTCTCATTGTAATAACGTGCTCTAGGATGATTCTGTTTGATCAAGGTGATTGGACCAGATGACCCACTGTGGTCCCTTCCAACCATATCCATTTTGTCAATCACTTATAACCAAAAACGTGACACTGCTCTACTTGTTCAAGCTGGATACCTCTTTAAAACTTTCTACTTTTAAAACTAATACCATTATCTACGGGTACAGAAGAGGTGAGGATTTTTGAGCAGATGTTCAGTATTGCAAGGGATTTCAGAGATTGAAAAAGATCTCAATCAACACTTATCTGCTGAAGACCGTCACACTGACTCAGGAAAGGGATATTCAGGCCTGTTCCCTATAAAAGTCCTCAATGATAGCAAAGCCATTTTCAAAGTACACCTAATATCCGTGACTTGATCTATTTTAACAAATTAGGAGAACTTTCCAGTTCCCAGATCTAGGGGCAGGTGACTGCCAAATAACTCCATTTCAGTGGCATTCACCAGCATACAAAGGCACATCAACTCCTACTCTTCTACTAGACAGCATTTAGTCTTCCTGCTCCTAGACAGCACTCAGGTCTTTATTCCTTTATATTCATTTGCATTAAATAAAAATTTTCTCCAGCATGTACTGTGGAAGATGGAAAAAATCTTTGGTGTATACTATAACAGGATCTCCATCCAAATTATCAGGAAGAGCAAGTTCAGCCTGGATACAGCCTGTCAAGTTGCAGATAAAGCATTTTATTATCTCTCTGAATTGTTTCTGAATGAGCACTTATAAAGAAGGATATTCTTGTGGACTCCTTATTAAAATGCTCTTCCCAGTGCAGTCACATGTCCCACAGGGCCTCTTGTACAGCTCATCTAACACTTCACTGAGAGCTGCTCTCTGCACAAGTGTCCTGTCCCCAGGGTCACAAACAAGTTCCGCAGTGCCCTCACACTCTCCCATGACTACAGAAATGACGGGTCTGCAGCCTACCAAAAAGTGGGAATGCAGTAATTTTGCTGCCTTTAGAGGAAGAATATTATTTGCCTCAAGTTTTTTTCACCAGGTGACAGAAAAGAGAACATGAAGGAACCTTCAGAGGTCAAACTCACCTCTCTTCCCAGGCAGCCTGATGGCAGTTAGAGAAGGAGGTAACACAGATAATCACCAGCCTTACTATAGCCATGGGATCACACAGCTATAGACAGCTGGAAGGTATTTATTTCTACATAAGGACTGATCTAATTCACCTCCATTAAAGAACTGAAGAGTAATGCTGGTTGCCACACTAGGGAGCTGAAATCATAGAGCAGAAATTTAGTCAATATGACATCTCCAACAATAAAAAAACTCTTCAGAATTTTTGATCCACATTAAAACCTATTACTGGAATCAAAATACAGTGTACAAGAGCCAAGTCATTATTTACAATGAAGACAGGTTTCCATCCATGTGCTGTGAGTTAACCCTGGTAGGTAGTTCAGCCCCACACAACCCTATTTACTCACTCCATTCCCAGTGGAAATGGGAAGACAATCGCAAGGACAAAACAGGCAAAACTTGTGGACTGAGATAAAGACATTAATAAGCAAAGCAGAACTGTTTGTGCAAACAAAATAAAACAAGGAATTCATTCACTATTCCTCATTGTCAGGCAGGCATCTAGCAATCCCCAGTAAAGCAGGACTTCATCCCATGCAACAGTGATTTGGAAAACCAAATAGCATATCTGTGAATGCTCCCTTTAGCTCCTTCTTCCTGCCAGCTTTTGCTGCTGAGCAAGCAGTCGAATGGTCTGAGGTGTCCCTTTGGTCAGCTGGAGTCAGCTGTCCCAGTGTGTCCCCCCCATCTCCTTGTGCACTCCAGCCTGCTCACTGGGTGGGGCAGTGTGAGAATAAGAACAGGCTTTGATGCTGTGTGAGCACCGTTCAGCAATAACTACAACGTGGGTTGTCAACACTGGTTTGGTCACAAATCCAAAGCACAGCACCAGTGGAACTGCTAGAAGGAAAATTAACTCTATCCCAGCCAAAACCAGGGTACCAAGTAAGATAGATAATGACTAGTGAACTTCTCCATAAGCACACCCTCCTGAACAATTAATGAAAGCAACAGTGACAGATACAGGGGTATACTGCAGAGTGATAGATACAGAAACAAAAAGAATGTGTAACAGAGGGAAGAGGTATTATAAGAAAAGGAAATGAAAAGGCATGTAGAGCATAGAATTAGTACCACACACAGGACTTCACAAAGCAGCCAACCTTAGCAAATCAAGAGCATGTTATTCAGACACATAAAACCTTCAGCTCCAATGCTGTAGACTCATAAATGTTGTTGCAAGAGTGTTGCAATGCATTAACTTTTAAAAGCCTCAGACACATAGTTAGGAATAATAAGTAGGATATCAAAAGGCAAATCAACAAACAAACATTAAATGAAACAGCATGCTGCTGATGATGTTACTAATCACAGAATACATCACCTAATGAAGTTAGGTGATTCAAATGGTTTGAAGTTAATCACTTCAAATCATTTGAATTATAAACGGATAGATGTTTCCATGTCTGTATGAAATTACTTAAAAACACAACAGCAAGATGTTGGAAGAGTATCTCAAGGCCTCTGTGGTCTTTAATATTAACAACCTTTCTAAAAGTAAACAAAAGACTAAGAAACAACTCACCTGATTGCCCGTTTCTGTCACTAGTTCCTCTTTGGCAACTTCAGCGCGTTCCTTATTTCGGCAAACTAGATGAACTGTGCCACCTGGTGGATTGCAACAAGAAAAGCATTTGATAATTACTAACTGCATTTGGGGGAGACACCAACATTTTAATTAGGTGAGATACTAGATATAAGAAAAAAAGCTGGAATATTTCTGCTTGGCTCTCGCTCCTGCGAAGGCAGGCAGGGTCATCACTCAAGGAAAAGGCCACTGCACTCTAAGCACTGTGCTCAAACCATTTCTGTCAAGTCTGTACATCATCTTTAGTGGGTGAAACACCAGAGCTAAATGGGAAATTGGAGCTAAGGCATCTATATCATAGATGGTTTTTTAATATATGCCTTAAGAAGTTCATTAAAGGGCTTGAACAACACAAGTGACTAGAATTGCTCTGCAGAAAGGAAATAAAAGTGCCAGCTATTGGAATTCTCAGCAGTGGGAGATAAGACAAAGACTATGGCCTCAATTGCAGCTTGGGAGGCTCAGGTCATCTGAATTATTTTTCATCAGAAAAATAATTTTCAGTAGTTTTCTTCTCAATAGACAGGCTTTCTCAAGAGGACGCATAACTTGCATCCTTGTGGGTATCGAGCAGCAAAACACAGCAATGACTGGTTTGATCTACATTGCCAGCAGTCCTGCTCCAAGTGAGATGCTGGACAAGGTGACCTCTAGAGGTCTCTTCCAACCAGTTTCTCCATGAAAGGAAGACACAAGGCAAGACTCTTCTCAGAGCCCTGGATACTTAACACGATCTCATCACTTCATCATATTAAAGAAAGCCTACAAACACAAGACTAAAGTACAACGAGGCAAATTTTTTTTTTGCTTCATGTTCTCTGATTGTTACAAGTGATGCGTTAATTTCAGTCCTAGGCATATCTATACTCTTTACTTTTGCCTGCCTTAAAAGGTGTTTTAGGGATTGCTAGCAGCCCACTTCTAGAAATCTCAAGGAATTAATCCCTAATAGAAACATAATTATTCCATAATAGAAACAACGACTGTGTCGGGTCACATTTTTAGTGCCCAGAACCCAAATGCAAAATACCAAGTCTACCTTGGGATGATACAGTCACACACTGCACAGCCCGTTCTGGGATCTGATAATGAAACCTTTTGTCTACAAGAGGGGTTTTTCCACTGAGCACCAGGACAGGGGGAAAGTTTAGGTGTGACTGACACACTAGGAAATGAATTTAAATATATTTGCTTAAGTAAAGACTTAAACTGTTTGAACTTAACACATGGGAATAATCAGAGTAGTTGGGAGAAGACTGTTATCAAGCTGGAAGCGCAGTTCACAAGACACAGAGAAAAGCCCAAATCCAAATATCCATAAGACACCAATTCAGAGAAAAGCTGAACTCAGACTACAGCAATTGTCAGCAAGATCATCATTAGTTAGAAATATCTGAGTTCTTGAAGGTAAAGCAAACAGAGCCTGATTATTCCTCTGCTGAGTCGGAACTCCTTATTTGCTTGTCGCGGCGTACTTGAAGAGATTCAACCAGAAGCCAGAGCCCCAAGAGCTGACACTGAGTTTCAAAGTGAGATGTTCAAGGATGGGACCAGGAAGTCATTTTAACTTCATATCAACAGCAATGCCCATACAACATCTCAGACACGCAGTCTGAGCCCAAGGTCACTCTGCTAAACACGGTGACCAAATTCCATACAGATCCAGCCAGCTTTCCAGCTTGCAAAACCTGGTAGAGATATCCATTTGTGAGTAGAACAGTCACCTGGCAAAGCAATAATTACATAAAGTGATTATGTACAATAGCAGTGGTGGGAACCTGAAATCAATCACATGCTGGCACTGATGTAATCTTAAACCCAAAGACTCTTTGATGCTAACAGTTTTGAATTAGTTTTGTTTAACTGAGTCGCCAGTTTCCTTCATAAGATAGTTACAAAACCTAAGCACACAAAGGGAGAACAGAGCCACAAGCTCCTCCCCTTCATTCTATGTGCCAAAGCTCCTGTCACTCTTGCACAACAGGAATTACTTTGTCAACTCTGTAAGGGATTAGGTTTATGCTTCAGCAGCAGCTAGGCCCAGTTTATACCATGTCTTTACGTATAGACAGCAACATAAAAACATAATTACATGTAATCAGCCAAAGGGCACAAACTCCAGGGTATTATCATTAAGATCAAGAACAGCTACATTGAGGTTTTTTTTATGCTCTCCCATCTCATTTTTGTAAAGACAGTTGTTTTCTTTCATCGTACTATACATTTGCAGATTCTTCAGTTCAAATTCAGCCAGGCTGCTACTTGTACTGAATTAACCTTGAACAGACACCGATATGTCACCAACATCCTTAGATACCACTATAATATACATAGTTTTGGTAAATATGCACTTGAAAAACAATTTGCAGCTCCTCTCTGCTAATTTGGTTTCCTTATCCCAGTTTTCACTACACTGCCATGCTTAAGCCTCTAACCCACACTAAGACCCCTGTGAAATGAGCCACATCCCAGGGATTTGTGTTTGTGTGTAAGTGCTGGAAGGCCAAACCTGCTTCCTTACATCTTCTCTGTAAGCCTCCTGGGAGCTCCATGGAAGCCCTACTCACCTCTCCTCGCTATCTCCTTAGCTGTGGCCTTGCCAATGCCACTGTTTGCACCAGTGACCAGGAAGGCTCTTCCAGCCACATCCACCTCCACATCAGCTGGGTTGAAGCGCTTGGAAGCGGACTCGTAACCACCCCTGAACAAATCAGGAGACACCTGTGAGAAACTAGAAGCAAGCCCTTCCAAAATAAACACATGTGTGGGTTGAAAAGCACTTTCACAGCTCAGCATCCAGTAATTGCCCTGTTTATTCTCTGTAGTCATAGGACAGGCCATGAATGCCGGTGCCACTGTAAACAGCAATGTATCATAGAATCAATAAGGTTGGAAAAAAGTCTAAGTTCAAGTCCAACCATCAACCCAGCACCACCCCCACGTTCACCCACGGCCTCAAGTGCCGTATCCAGACATTTTTCTCAACACTTCCAGGGATGGTGTCTGCATCACTTCCCTGGGCAGCCTGCTCCAGTGTTTTGCAATGAAAGCGACAACTCGCGGTGGCGTTCGGCCGCCCCAGACCACCCAGCCCCGACCATTCCAGCCCTCACCGAGCGGGGCTGGAATCCGCCCGCCTTGGCGGGGGCGGGCAGCTGTCCATAAGAACACCAAACCAAGGCGGCCCCGCCGCGGGTACGCGCCTGCGGGCAGACCGGGACGGCCCAGCCCGGGCACTGCGCCCGCCCCACGCCGCCTCCCGGGCCCCGGGCGGCCGCCGCCCGTACCTCGTGTACTCCCGCAGCCCCTTCACGAACCACACGGTGTTGCGGTACCAGGACATGGCGCTGCTGCTGCCGCCACCCCCGCAGCCGGGCCGGCTCCGCCTCTGCCCTTACATAAAGCGCCCGGCCAGCCCGGCCGCGTTAGATAAGGGCTGAGGGGCGGCCCCGCTCGGCCCGGCCCGGCCCGGCCGCGCTAAAGGGAGGCTGTGAGGCGGCGCAGCGAGTGTGACAACGCGGGTAGTGGTGCCACCTTCCTCCTTAGCACCAGTTCGTGGGTTGGTTCTTCTTTCCTTTCTGTTTTCTTCTCTTCCTCGTTAGCCATGAAGGATAGCTATGGCCAGCCCTCGCCTCGCTGCAGACGGCTGTGCCTGGCGAAGGTGGTGGCGGATGAAGGATGGAGAATTTCCTAGGGCTCCAGCCTGGGGCAGATGCTGCTGCCGGCTGAGGCGGGGCTGCGAACGGGGTGTTGTGTTTTGTGAACGGGGAGCAGTGCTGCAGGACCTAGGCCTGCATCCTCTGCCCTGGAAAGCTGCCAAAGGGATGCTCCCAGACAAACATAAAAAATTATGTCATGCTACATGAAGTAGCATTTTACATAACAAATCCATTAAATACCTCTCTCCTACTGGTGCAGTGAAATATGGAAAGGATACACAAGTGGCTGTTGCAGTAGGGGGAGTGAAATTCAAAATGTTTTTGGTTTTATGCTCTTTGGACCTGTAAAGCCCAAGAGAGGCACTTGGAGTTGCACATGTGGATAGCCCATGTTAGCCATAAGGAAATTGTCATTTTAGGTACAATTATGCTTTTAATTATGCAAAAGGTCTATGCACCTAGAAAGATCTGTGTACAAATTGGATAAATTCATGTATTTTATTGGGTATGCCGGGGCCACATCAGAGAAGCTGCTCTGGGAACCCTATCTAAATTTTCAAGAGCTTAAGTTACCTGATTTCAATAGCACAGATAGTGGAGAAATTGGAATATTTTCTCTTTTTTGAGCCTGTATTATAGCCTGATACTTCTTTTTTCTAAATCTCTTTGCTCTGGCAAAGGCCTTGTCCTAAAGTCTTCCACTTTCTCAGCATGATATGTGAGTGTTAGGCTCATACAAAAGGCACTTCATGGTAGGAAGTTACAACTTTTGAACTCAGCCTTGTCTGCTTGTATATTACATGTGCAGTAAAAGTTTCTAAAGGGCAAAGAAACACATTTTCACATTGATATTTTCTTCCATGCAGAGGCCATCCAGCTTGTTGTACCTTTTCATGAACTCTAAAAATGCTTGTTCTTAAAACAACTGAAAGACTATTAAAAAATGTAAATGCAGTAATACAGATTGTGCTTTATTCCCGTGTAATTTCTGTGTTTACCCTATTTATTTCTTAAGATCTGTGATTATGGCTTAGTACAAGCAAAATGGGATGATGGCTCTGATGTGTTTTGTTTGTAGTTCCAGCCTGTGTTCTCATAGATGGCAAAGTTCATCCCTGCAGTCTGCCAACCTCTGAAACTAAATGGGGTGCGTGCAGATACACAGAATTCCTCACAGGCTGAACCATTTGGATTGTGATCAGCATGATGCTGGATGATGCAGCCCTGAGTTGCTAACCAATGTGAATATGCCTGGCAGAAGCTGTCCATGAGTCAGACACGAAAAGAGATTATGGCAGGCAGAGAATGGGAGCAGCTCATAATATTTTGGGGGTTAAGCAGTAATGGGCAATTACAGCATATTACTCATACTGAGATTACAGAAGATGTTTGAATGTAATGTTGGCAACTAGTGTCATCCTGGTACATACACAATTTTCTCAGAGAATATTATATAAATACTGCAATGTTAGCTGTACCCTTCTAACAAATGGCATTTTAAGGACATTTTGTAAATGCCCAGGAATTGTGCCCTTGCCAGAGTGCACCAATCCATGAGCACATTCAGCTGCGAGATTTCTTGTTTTTCTGTACTGAGGGGCTAAGCTTGCACCCAGAAATGAACTGTCACAGCACTCTGTCTGTCTGAGCAGCCTCATAGAATCAATCATTAAGGTTGGGAAAGACCTCCATGATCATCAAGTCCAACCTTCACATCAAAAGTGAGCTGTTGCACATGTCCTAACGCCACCTAGATATTTCTGTTGCCTCATCCCTGTGGTGTTTTGCTTCTATCCTGTTGTTCCAGAGGCAGGAGGCTGTAGAGATTGTGTAAGTGCTCTCTTCTACCCAGCCATCACGGTGATGAAGGTCGTGCAGGAGAAAGGCAAGATGTAATTTTTCCAAGAGCTGGGTGCTGCTAATGAAAGGCCGGCATCTCAGTATTCTCACAGGCAAAATTTCTGCCCACTTCAAAAGTTGACCACATATCTTGCCTTCTGTACTGAATTCTGGATTGATACATCTTGTTAGCTGAATTAGAACTTATTCTGGAGATTTGGAAATTCAAAAAGTTACAGCTTCTGGTTTCTTTCTTGGCTGCTGGTAGCTTAGCAATTAACTCCAACAGGACACTGCTCTGAACATGAGGGATTTTTTTAGACAAAGAATTTTTCTCTTGGATTGGCATCCTACATCTCAGACCCCTATCAGAGCCAGCAACTGGTATATTTGTGTCATATAGAGCTGAAAGAGGGAGAGCCAGAGTCTCTTGAGCTGCTAATGTTTCCCTCATTTGAGGACAGAACAAAATGGTTTCACCCAGGCTAATAACGAAAACTCAGTGTTTGTCCCTGATAAAACATATCCAAGTTAATTCTTACCCTGTGTCTATGCTATCAAATACTCCATTGCATATTCCCAGGCCTTGATCCTCTTATTGCCCATAGGCAAATGATTGTTGATGCCCAGGTCACAGTAGGTATTAAGCAGATACTTCTGTCCAAAAAAAGCTCAAATGTCATCATGAATAGTTTGCTCAAAGGGTACTTTTTTCCTAAATACTACAGATGAGGGTGCACCAGGATTAACACTGCACAGCTTGGCTTGACCCTGGTGGTCCTGTGTTCTGGTGCCTGCATTTACCAGTGCACAAATAGCGCCCAAGCCTGTTATGCAAGCCTCCATGACTCCAGGTAATCCTCCAAGCACATACAAATTCTGGAGTGTTGTGGCTGTGAGCCTCCAGACATCAGGATTTTTCATGGAGTAATGAGCTGAGAATCTCAATTTTCTTAAAACACAAGAGCTGGTGAAAAATACCTCTCTGGCACTCAGCTGGGCTAACATGAAAAACATACCTTAGATTTGATTTGTCTTTGTACCTGTCAAATAGCAAGAAGTTTTAAGCAAAGTTTTAATTACTTCTAGCACAAAGGAAAGTTGAAAATGCTGATTGCTGTTCAGGGCTGTGTGTTTCAGCGTGTTTCATATTGTCTTCCCAGGGGACGGATCTAAAAGTAGAGTACTCAAGAGCTGGAAAGCAATTATATATTATACAAGATGTTTAAAACAGCTTCAAGGCCATTTTGCCAATCTCTTTTATTATCCTTTTTTTTCTTATTTTTTGGTGAGAGGCTAAAATCTTGATCTTAGGGACAACTGGCTCCTTTGCTTGCTTCCTTCCAGGGATCTGGCAGGCTGTTGGGCATTCCCTCCTTTCCTTGCAGTTAATAATTTTCTAATTAAGTCTCTGTGCCTGCCCCTATTAAATCAATCAGAACTGATTCAGTTGCCACTGATTGCAGTGGGAACAGGCACAGGCTTTAAGGGCCAGATTTGCAGGAAAGCTCTGCATCTATAAGTGGGGCCAGGTTTCCAAAGGAAGTGGCAATTGTGTGTAAGCCACTGTGGTGGGAGTTGCTCCCAACCCTGTTTTTACCATGCTGGCCTCAGCTCTGGATTCTGGAACACTTGAAGACTCTGCTTTAGAAACTTGGCACAGCCCCAGTCAGTGTAATAACAATCAAGAGCTGTCAGCAGCCTGGGGAGAGGTAGTTGACACTTGTCCTGTTGTCTGGATGAAGCAGAGGGCTTGGTGAGTGGTTGAAGAGGAACATTAAGTCCCTGAGGTCTCAGGGACATGTCTGAAGTGCTTGTGGTAGTAGCAGGGTGAGAGAAGCAAAAGCTGCTCATCCTGAATGGAGGGAAAGGCTGAAGTCCTGGCCTGTGTTGTGTTTTTGTGAACAGTAGGGTGTTTTCTTTGTTGTGTACCCAAGTAATCACCAAGTTTGCCAGCTGCTGTCATCAGCAGTGTTGTTTCCAGCGAAGAGTCAGGCTTTCCCCAGACCAAATAGCCTTTTATTACTGAGGAACAAGTGTGGCAGTATGTCATATTTATCACTCATTTCTCAGGGGCCAGTTAAAGGAATCTCATGCTGTGACTTACCAGAATTATAGGTTGCTTTATCAGCTGCTGAGGGCCCTGGTCTCTGGGATTCTGCAGGGCTTCCCAGCGTTAGGCATGTCCTGGCAAAGAGAGGGGCTGCTTAGTGTCCTCCCAAAGTGAAAAGAATTGGCTGGTAGAAGCAGCTAAATCTGTTGCTAACCTAGTTAATCTCCTATATATCAAATAATTTTGCAAGCTGAAGTGTATGTAATTGTTTTTAAAATAATAGGATGGCTTAGGATATTTTTAAAGTAATAAACCCAAAATGTTATAGTTGATAAGCATCCTAGAGAATAATTTTTTTAGCCAGTAAAAGATAATTTTGTGATTTCCATGACTGAAAAATTCATTCTATTCTTACAGTAAACAGCATACTTGAATGCATACATGTTTGTTTCTAGGCTGTGGAACTAATGCAGTTATCTATACCAACATTTTCTTCAGCTATTTTTCTTCTTATTGCTCTTCTGGATCTTACTGTTCTTACTACCACCTGTTGGACAGGAATGCGTATGGGCTTGTTAACTCAGGTGAGTCCTGCTACACTTTTTTTATTCTTCTGCAAATCTTACTGCTTATTAGCATTTTATTCCAGCCCAGTTGTTACCAAATTGAAGATGTTACCCAGTAGAATGTATCCTCAAAGAGGTATCTACAAGCAGGAGAACACACACACCTGCTTACATGGTTGCTGTTTTGTTCAAATGCCAAAGGAATAGTCTGAAGTTTTGTGTCTTCAAGCATTCCCTGTGCTGTTGTAACAAAACCTGCAGAGACATGTGAAATTTGTCCATGCAAAGCTGTGGA